AAAAGGGGATGCCGACTACAGTACTCTTTTAGCGGGCGATTCGACAAAACGAAGGGCAGCGGCGGTCCCTTGCTCAAAAGCATTTCGTGCTCCATCAACATCTATTTCCCTGATTGACACCACCTCTTCCGCCGTCTCAAGTTTTCGACTCCACACTCCAGAGCTTGTAAATCTGTCTATCATTCTCCGGTCCCAGACGTCCTTCTCAATTTTGACAAATTGTCGTGAATTCATACGCTATTAGTAAATAGACCGACTCAACACGAGGCACATTACCCTTTCGAAATGTTTAGATAGACGAAGAAAACAACGAAAATGGGCTTGTTTTTCGGGAGAAAAACTGAATGAACGCTACTGTATCCAGACGGATTTGAGTTGTTGACGATGTTCTTGCGAACAGGATGCTCCGGTGATTTCTCGGACCCCTTTATTGTCCTAACGCTTTTTCGCCTTTGCCGCCGATCGCCGCCTAAAAAGCACACTTCTCATTTTGCGCTTTCCTGACCGTTTTCAGACAGAATTGGTTTTGAGAATGATAAATCACGTAAATACAAGCATTTTGAGCGCTCGAACCGCAAAAACTACCGAAAAGCAACTGAAATTCACACCGTTTTAGCCAAAAACCTTCAAACGGATAAATGTGATTTGCGACTTGACCAAATTTGACGCTCTCGCGCTTAAAAAATTCGTAATAGCCCATACAATCGGTCTATCGAGAGACAAATGAGAAATTATCGGTTTTTCGTGGCTAATCTGGCAAAAAACACAATTTTTGCAGTTAAAATTTGAATTTCGCGCCAATGTATCGCTCTATTGGCACTTGCGCCCATTGTCAGCTCTGGAGACCGTGCCTAGAGGAGCGTGCTCCATTCGTTTCACTAGGCTAACTTCTGGATGCGGATATCGCCTGATATTGTCGTCTATCGACTGATCGTGCCCTTTCTGTGCATTGTCCCTCCTATTTCACCAATTTCTCATTTTCTGTTTCCCATCGCAAACCGGAAAACTTTCCGGTAGAATCAGAGTGGGTTTTCCAAGAAAAACCGGTGGCGCCAGCTACATCTAAAAAACCGGTGAGCCTGTTCGTCAAGCTATCGGAACAAGTTTCCTCGGTTTTTCAGACGAAACGGCAGCCAAGTAGAATAGTAGAAAGGGGTAGAAGTTGGGTTTTGAAATGAGAGAGAGAAAGAGAGAAAGAAGTCGAATGGAACAAGCGAAGGCTGTCCGCCGAAAAGTGGGCGGAGCCATTCTGTCCTCCTGACCAGAGCGCGACTGACTCTTTTCATTCGAGTTTGTCGACAGATCAGCGTCGGTCCTACTCCCCGACTTCTATTCTTTGCGGACTCATCCGCTTTTGTTTGTCCTTCGCTTCTCAGACTATCAACGCGAATAGTTTGAGAGACTGGGATAAATAAAAGTGGATTCGAGACCGCCCCCCGGGCTTCGCTTCAGAACAATGTGTAGCAGTTCAGAAGAGCACCAGGATTCTTCTGCACGGCTACCATATTGTTCCGAAACGGCGATACGGGCACTTTTCGGCCAGCTTTACCTGTAAACAAAGTTGTCCAGTCGCCCAAGTTTACTGATGCTCTAAACGCATTCTTTAAGAGTTCTAGAATGACGCTTAAAGGAAAAGTAAAGCCGGAGACGGCCATGAATACGTCAGTAGCAAAGGGGGATCCGATCCGAATCCATCTGAAGATGAGAAGTGCTTCTCCAATCGTCTGAAGGAGAAGCGGTATCTCATCGTCAGACAGAGAGACCGTCCGAGTAGAAGGGGACTGCGAATGAATGAGCTGATGGATGAGCGAAAAGACCGGACAAGTGGGCGTGGCTGTGAGAGCCATCACCAGCTGTATCTGCCCAGTCCGAGTGGTATTCGATGCCAACTGCCTTTCGCAGCAACAAGGAGATCCGAAGCGTAGGGTGGTACCGTAGTCGCCGGCTCCCATCGAATGTGCCAGGTGTCGAGCACCTTTCCCAGACTCTTTTTTGGAAATTCGAAACGGCAGCTGGCCTAACGAGTTTTGTTATGGTTTGGGAATGGGAGAAAGTGCGCGCCTGTCAACAACACTTTTCGAATTGGAATGTATGTTTAGGACAATCCGAGGGGCTGTTAAATTGAAGTCTCTTCCATCGGGACAAGGCCAAATCTGTACTTCAGAGATCTGAATAAAGCCTAAGATACTGGCCTGATCAAATTGAGCAACAACTAGAGACTATTCGTTCGCTAGCAAATCTAGCCCGTGTCCACTGAAGCGCTAGCCGCAAGGGGCAGATTCGGCTGCGCAGCCCGGCCTCCTAGCCACGCCCTCCTCTCTTCTTCTTCTTCTTCTTCCTCCTCTTCTCCGTTCATTCACTTGTCGAGTTCTGTTATATTCTTCTCGACACGATCACAATTCGAAGCAAACAGCGAAAAATGATCACGGAATGAAGTGGATCATTTCGTTGAATTGTTTCGAATGGTGTCTCCTGTCTTCTTTCGGCCGGTCTCGGCTCTGAATGTGTACTCGGCTTTCTAAAAGCGGAAGGCGTTTTGAAAGAGAGTTTACACGTTTAAGGATGTCGAACTGGACAGTATTCCATCACGAAGATAAAAATTGTCCAGTCGACCAAGTCTGCGAAGCAACCTCGCCAGAGAACCGCACATTGGAATCTTTGACAAAGGTTGCTTATGCAAAGTCGGCGACGGACAGAGGGGAATAGTCAAGTCAAGTCAGAGTAGGAAGTGAACTGATTGAAATTGGCGAGGGATGAGAAGCGGCGGAGGGGGCGGAGCCTGCCAATGGTCGGAAGTCGGCTACCGTATTCCGTTTCGAAACGGATCGGGAACAATTGCAACACATGATGCAATTCTCCAATTTCTATTCGTCCTTGGAATTCGTTCGTTCCAGACAACCTCATTAGCGATTGAGTGTCTGCGATGGAGAAAGAACAACATGTTCTCTTTGAACCGATCCGACATCTCGCGGCCTTCAAAAAAATATTTGGGCATCATAGTCCACCTAGAAAATTCGAAAAAACAAGTGGTCAGAGCTGGCGCCGTGCCAATTTTCTCTGTCAACCGCAATCCCGTGTCACTTTTCGAAAACTCTCCAATCATTCAGATCTATCGAACACACGTTCTGCGGATTGAGAATTATTATAAACAAATCGGCTGGTCGGACACAGGCCGGAGGTGTCGTTGATTTCTGAAGGGGTCAAGTGAAATGTGATACTCTGGTGCTACTGACACATCAGTAAAAATGATGTCATCTCGAGGGCTTGACAAAAAACATCGATTCTTAGCATATATGAACAGAGCAACAGCTTTAAACGGATGAAAAGAAGCCACCGAAGGAAAATAGAAAAGAAAAAGTGATTGGATAGGTAAGTACTTTGCAGAAATGGGAAAACAATGAAATACAATAAATTAGAGGGACGAATTCGCGACCAGAGCCACTGCTCTCTGACAGAAAACGGTTGCAAACGAGATCTTATCTGGTAAGGTCTGAGAGAGCCCTGAAAAAGGCTCGGAAGGTTTTCCTGAAAAGGATTATCTTAGGAGACCGTCTGGTCGGGTCTATAAACTCCGCATGGAAGTGGAAACATTTTTCGACTCTTGGTATAAGTTGTACACTTCAATCAAGTCGGTCTGAAATTTTTCATGCGGAACCTTAGTCCACAAACATATCCCGCATAACACATGTTCGACGATTCAGTCACATTACACCTAAAACTATTAACCTCTGTGCAGAAAACGAGAGAAAGGGTACCAGTAATCATCGACACCAATGTCAGAACTCGCAGATAAATTGATGCTCACACAGTTGGCTTCTTTTACTGTAGTTATAGTCGATACCAGGGCGGAGATTTTACCAGTACCCGTTGTCGCAGTTTATCGGTCGTTTTATTTATGAAACTGGTCGGGATCGGAAGGTTCAAATGGGAAAGGATCGAGATCTTTTTCAGGGATTCTCCGTCATCCAACTCCCAACTCGTCTAAGGATGTCTACCGTCCGGTATCGAAAAGTGCATATCTGCCGGCAAGGCTATAGAAGCCGTCAACGAACACTTTAACCATTCCACATATGTATTATTTGATCTCTATAGATTCTGCGCAGAAGCATGTCGAAGAGCGGCAGAAGTTCGGAGTCACTTTATGACGCTATGACGCCAATTGCAGCACTTGAGAGGCATCAATGAGGTTGAAAAGGACTTGATCATCTTAATACGAGGTTTGAAACTTAGAGCCAAGATAATTGAATCGAAAAACAGCAAGTGTGGCAAAAGTCTTTCGTCAAAAAGCTTTCGAACAGCCTGATCGAACTGAATTCTCGGAAGTTTTTACGGGTATATCCAAATAAAGTTTAAGCAAACTGAGAACTTTTTCCTCAGCTTAGCGTCCTGGAAGCAGATGCATTACCTAACAACAAGAACGCCCGGAAGTACTTGAATCAGAAACCCATCCCGCGCACTGAGTCCCCACCGAGTTAGGATTAAAGGATAGCCCCCCAATGTGTCGTCAAATGAAATGCAAAGATGTTAAAGGAAAGCCCCCATCAGCGCGTCATCTCGGATACATCGGAACAGTGTACCATAATTTGGGCGGTCAATACGAAAGCAAGTTGTTTTTGGTCGTTTTCTCGTCGTTATGATCGTTTTTTCACCCGTTTTCGATGCTTTTTTGCCTGAAATTCAGAAAAATCATGAAATGTGAAATATTCAGTCTGTCGAAATGATGCGGCTCACCGATATAAAGAAACACGTGATTCATTTGTTCTTGGACGAAGGGCTCCTCTAGGACGACGTCGAATGCGAAAAGTGCGGCAAGAAGATGACGTTGAGAAGCCGAGGTGGAACTATGGAGGTAAAAAAATAGGAAAATTTGAAGTTGAGTAGTTAAATTGTTACAGTGGCGTTGTAGACTCTCTAATAGCAAAGATTGCTCTAGTAAAAGTATAAAGAAGCACAGCTTCTTCAAAAACACCAAATTGACACTGACACAAGCTCTCAAAGTGATGGTGATGTGGACGGAAAAGTTGAGTGCCGGTAAAATCGCCAGAGAGGTCGACATTTCGGAGCAAACCGTTGGTGATTGGCGTAACTTTCTGAGAGAGCACCAAAGTCGAGGCTACCTATGGGAAGATCGGCGGCCAAGGACATATTGTAGAAATCGACGAAACGAATCGAGATTCATTCGAGAAAATATGGGGTGGGAAGAGGAACAAACGAGGACTGGAATATCGGAGGTACGGTCACCCGCATTTGCGGTTAGAGTACATCTTATTTCAGGAGTAGACAGAGTCACTGGAAATGTGTTTGCCCAAAGAGTTCCAAATCGTACCGCTGCTACGTTGGTCCCGTTACTCCAGAAGAAGATTGAGAAGGACAGCGAAGTCTATTCGGACGAATGGCGAAGCTATTCGCAACTAATGAAGTACTTCACTGGACATTGGACCGTCAAGCACAAAACACAATTTGTTAAGTGAGTTGTGATTTTTTGTTTCGGCTTAATGGAAAGTAATTCAGTATGGTCGGAAATCGAGCAGTTTGTACCAATGGTGTGGAAGCTATGTGGGCGCGCATTTAAAAACCGTTCAAGGCAGGGAACGGAACAAGCTCCGCGCTGTTGGATTCGTATATTTCAGCATTTGTAGTGCGTGAAAACGAGAAGGACGACTTTGCGCTGAAAAATTACGAAGAAATGAAGAAACATACATAATTTTGTTTGTTCGTTTTTGTTTATGAAATTGTTTCGTATTTTTGAAATTTAATTTTCATAGTTCGCAACTTAATGTTCTTAAAGTTCTAGTTCTTAAAGGATAGGAATTCTTGAATTTTCCCGTTTTTACTTTACTGAAACTTTGTATTTACAGGGACTTTAATTCGAGCGTCAAAGTGTGCACATATATGTGCGATGATGTGGCATGGAATGCGTAATAAGTTTGCTCCGTTCCTTCTGTTTTTTTCTGCTGCTGCTGCTGCTGCCGCCGATCTCAGTCTGCAAAAGGAAAACAACAAAAACATGGAGAGTCTGCCACTTTCGAACGGAAAAAAAGAAAAAGCGCGTCGAAAACGACGCCTCCGTTTTCCTCTTCCAGCGCAAACTTGTCCCAGACTTTTTATCCGTTCCGGTTCTTCCGTTCACAAATAGATTCCGCGAGTTGTTATTTATTCGAGCAAGAGCTAACCGAAAATTCTCTAGAGATTTTTGAACTTTGTTTTTTTCTGTTCATTGCCTGTTGTCTATCTCTTCTGCCTTGCTCCTTGGGCTCCGTTTCGAATCACGTGCTCAAATCTTCCTACAAAGCTCACGTGGCTTTATCGTTATCACAAAAAGTGCCCAAAAATGTTCCCAAAGGACATCAGGTGCTAATTGGAGCGTTCATGAGAAGAGGAGGCGCGAGAGAGCCGCTAGCGAAAATATTTTCGAGTACTTCTGGAATTTTTTTCTCGTTTGGCTCTAGATATTTTCAGCCATCAAATGATGTTATTATCGGTCTTGCGGTCTTACGCGCGCGATCAAACATTTTTTGAGTAATTTTTAAATTTCTAATTATGGGAGCAAGTGCAAATGCGCGCTGTTGATAAAAGCGCAAACACTTTTTTTCGAATCTGAAATTTCGAGTAATTAAGCATCTAAACGTTTCCGCACGATTTTCTCTTCTCTTCTGTCATTTTTTATTTTTTCTTTCATTCACACACTTTTCAAAGAATCCAAAAGAATCTGAGAAAGAAGAATGAGACTAATCAAATTCAGGAAACGAATAATTATATGAACTGCTAGCAGCGAAAGAGAGAGTGAGAAAAAAAACTTTTTCATCACTTCATTCATTTTCTTCATTTTCTTCGTCCTCTCCTTCGTGCTCATCTCGCCGTCGGTTTGTGTATTACGTGATATACTTTGGCGCTCCGCTCGGCTCTCTCTGAATGTTACACACTCACTTTTCGGAGAACGGTGCACACGGAAAAATGAGAAAGAAAAGAGAGAAAAAGAGCTATTCCCGGCCGGAGCCCACTGGCAGAGCCGCCTCAATTTCTTTTGAACTCCGCGTGCGCTCCCGTCCGTTATCCGTCATGTTCATCAGCTCTTCAAAGTGAAACCCCATGATTCATACCGAATTGTTCCGACGTTAAACGAAGACGCAGAGAACAAAAGAAGACGCATTCTTATCAGAGAGGCACTTTCAGACCGCTCTCTCTCTCTTCAAACTGAAATAGGCGGGCCCCCTTTTCTTATCATTCTCTCGTTTTCAGCATCTTTTCCCTGCCACGGTCGCATCGTACAATTCAAGTGCGGCGGCGGCAACTTTCGAAAGACATTCCGATTTCGAATACTGAAATTCTTCCCGTCTGCCATGAACAACGTTTGGTTTGTTCAGTTCGAACTCGATATCGCGTGATGAGTATGACTGAACTCCTGACCGCAGCTCGTGATCTGTATGGAGCTTCCGATAGCATTGGTAACTGAGTTTAGAAAGAAAGACAGGAAGACAGAAAACTGAAATCTTCCAATTTCTGATGCTCCGGGTTTCTCTATCCAAATCAAACTTTTTGAAGTGTTCTCTTATCCATCTTTTAAGGGAATATTTTTCATTAGAGCTATTTTGTCGAAAAAACATAAAAATGTTGACTTTTCTGAATTTCCGGACTCGCTGCCAGTAAGCTTTTCTGAGCCTTCCCACTCTTTCTCCAAGCACCCATATCCATGAGGATCTTACCTACCTGCTGTCAAATTCCTAAAATTCTTTCAATCGTTTGCGTCGGATCTTTGCGCGAACCGCGAAAACACACACACAAACCATATTTGTCCGCTTCTCCTTCTTCACATGCATCTGACCCCCATTCCCGTCACTCATGCAGCATAAATCGAGCCTGGTGACAGTCGCAAAAAGAGACACAGTCTAAATAACGTCTCGTCGTCTGCATCTCACAATTCCGCGCACTCTGCCACCGCCCGTCTCCACCTGGAACTGTCTCTTCCCGGGCGCCGTCGCGCACTCTGCGTCTCGCTCCGCTCCCGTCTCTCGCCTTCGCCCCTCTTCAACACCTCGTTTTTTTGTCGGTCGTCCCCGCCTGGAAGTAGGTAGAGAGAAAGAATGAGACAGTCTCACGCAAGCCCTCTCTGCTTCTCTGCTTCTCTCCCCCGTAATCCACGTGGATCGTGAGTATCTCGCCTTCAGAACGTTTCGCGTGCCGTCTCTCCAAATGACTGTCGAAATGCTGTCGGCGCGGCCCTGGGGGCGCCCCTCTCTCTCTCTCTCTCTTTCGCTTTTTATCCCTGTTTTGCAATTGTTCGTCACGCTGTTTTTGATAAAACACACATAGAGACGGACACCTGCGTGTTTTCACCTCCTTCTTATGTATTTTGATGCCCTTTTATGCCAAACTGTCCAGATCAGGGGGTATAGCGAAAAAAAAACTCGGAATGGGACAGCGTCGACGAGGAAAGTATGCGGGAATTAAAAAAGCTGAAGGTCACTCTCACTTGTCGCAACAATCCTCTTTGGCCGTGTCTGAAATTGTTGCCTTTTGCGCATTCTTCCCATTCTTTCCGGTCAGACGAACGAAGTTTCTTGCAAAATGAAATCGCAATGCAATCATAGGACCTTCAGTGTCTGTGTGTAACATGATGCCCACAGGAAAAAAAATTGGAGGCGAAAAAGTTTCGTTTCACATTTTTCTCGGTTGGAGTGTAGTGCCGCCTGCGCCAACCAGTTTCCGACCGTTGCGCTGACCAATTTCGGCATGATAACGTGACCTGGTAATTGGGTGACTACTGTCACTTCCAGCCCGTCAATCATCGGCAAACGGTCAGAGATGATCGGACAACTAGGAGTCTAGCTGGCAGGCTTCTTAGTTTCGTACTTATTTCCTTATCAATCATAACAGCCAACTTTTTCTTCTTTTGCAATGTTTTGAAAATCGCGCTGACTCAGAACCTTACGACAGAATTCGTTCTATTCTCCGCCCCTTTTTTCTTCTTCGTCGGAGCATGATTTCTGCTATCTGTTTCCTTTGAAACACTCATAATGTGAATCCTGCATGCGATACGAATCCGACTCGTCCCCTCGGCCGTCCCTTTCCTTCCTTCCCTTCAGTCAGCTGTTATCACCAGCCGATCATGTCTCTTTTTTCTGTTTTTCTCTCACTTCTTCGCCATTTTCTTCTTCTTCTGCCTTTTTTTTCTTCCACGCATTATTATTATTATTATTATTATCATGACAGCGGCCCCCTAGCACCACTTCCAGAGGTCCCTCTCTTTCGATTTTTTATATATGCTCTTCCCACGTTCTTCTTTCTCTTTTCCTCTTTTCCTCTTTTCTCTGTCGGTGTTTTGAGATCTTCTTCTTCTTTCAGACTCCTCCTTCCGGTTCCGTGAGCTCTTTTCTCTCTGAACTCTCGTGCCACCACACAATCATCACATTTCGGGGGAGTTTAGCACAATGAGCAACGGGTATGGTGTTCAAGTGAGTTAGAATTTGATAAAAATACAAAAAATTAGTCATCATCACCGTTCTCGTTCACTGTACACACACACACACACGCGCCCCTCCTGTATGCAATGTTTTTCTTTCGCTTTTTAGATTTGAACAGAAAAAGTGACGTGTAAGGCGTGAAAAAGTTCCAAAGTTTATAGTGAAACTCGATCCGCCCACTACTACGTATGGCTTTTAGTGACGATTGAAAACGCTCGTGCCCACTAAAATGTAACTATAAAGTGACTATGTCGGGCGAGGAGTGGTTGAAAGCGAGATTTTGTACACATTCAGACGGAGAAAAAAGAGGGTCTCGCGGCGATAGTTTAAAAAAGAAACCCTCTCGAGATTTTGATACAGTAACCTCTGTGTCTTTGGAAAGTCAACAAAATGCCTGTTGGCACAGCAAACAGAACTCATGTGTCTTTTGACGCGATGAAGAGGGCGATTTGTGTCTGCAAAAGTACCAAATTAATAAGAATGATGGAATTTCAGGCGGCCAGTGAGACTACGATCAGCGACTCGAGCGCCGACGCTTCGACGTTCGCCAAACCGATCGGACAAGTGGCCGGAGCGGACTTCACCAAGCAGAGCTGTACGTGTTCTCTCTTTCGATCCCCATTCTGGCAGTCTATGCTTTGTTTCCTGCGCGGACAGTGAAAGTGATCCGTTGTTATCTTTTCACCCTTAACAGCCATCCCGCCGTCATCCCCCCACATCCAGCTGGGCTGATTGGACTGCCTTGCAATGGCATAAAGTGGGCAGGAATGATAAAATGGATGATAAAATCATCCACTCTTGTTTTTCCATCCCGAATTCTCGATCTTCGAGAAATTGGAAAATTCCTCATTGGAAATACGAGATTGTGTGTGTGTGTGCGAGAACGTTATGAGACACGAATTATGCCGATTTTTAATTGGAAACCGATGAAAAAACGAATTTCAATTTCCCAATTTCCCAATTTTCGCGTCGACCCAACCCACCTATATACGAGATCTCTGAATTCCGAATTTTAAAGTGCCATTCCATTTTGTCCAGATGTTGTGTTCGGCGACACCCTCGCCTCACCACATGTATTCTTTGAATTTCCGTCCGTCCACGTGACCTTGTTCGATACCCGCTCGTCGGTGTTTGTGCTGATGTTCTCCTCCGTTCTAGTACACAAACATACGAATGCCACCTGTTTTCGAGGTAGTCAAATCCACAGAAATGTCCCTTTTTCGTGTCGAAATGCGCACATGAGTCATGGATCACATGATTTGGCAATTCATTGGCAGCCAGTACCCTCGGAAATTGAAAATTCAACACTCTTTTTCATTTTTCTCGCCCGCTTAAAGGAAGTTCATCATTGGGGTTTTAATAAAGGAAACCAGCGACCGGGCACACAATATTCCCCCCTCAATTCGTTTCCTTTCAATAAGCACTATTGGCCCCCGGTCCTTTTCATTGCGATCTTTGATTGTCTGCGAACGAAATCAAACTCTCTTTTTTCCGCAATTTCACTTCACTTGCCCACTTTTTCGACACGAAAAGGGAAAAAGGAACACGGACTTTCCTCGCCCACTTCCTCCCGTTTCCTTCCGTCGCACGCGGGTCACATGTCTGTTCAGGAGGAACAACATCTGGCACTCAGATACATTTCGAAACGCTGATCTCGAAATCATGCTTCTCGCCCAATGATTTCACTCTTTTGGCTCATCAACTGCGAAAAACGGCGTCGAAAGGTGACAAGTGTCTCTCCGCAGACACCCTCCCGCTGACAGCTGTTGCTTCTGATGCTTCAGAGGACTGCAGCCAGCCTATCAGTAGCCTCGAAACGCTTGACATCGTTTTTCTGCTCCCCTCGCTCTTTTCACGATAGCCTCTTTTCTCGTGCGGTAATTTATCACCGGCACAACTGACTTCAAAGCTTTTTCGCTATTTTCACTTAAGTGCAAATGTGCTCAGAGAGTCTGAAATGATTTCATTAGTGTAACCAGCGAGCACTACGATTCATACCTAACAGATCTTTGTCTCTTCGTTTCTTGCATGTCAACGGAACTTTGATTCATGGGCATTCTCTCCTTAGCACCTCTTTCTGTTCCGTGTCTGCCCCTTCCCCCTTCAACTTCTCTTTTCTTTGCTATCCTTTTCTGTCAAACGAAAGCTCTTGGAGACCTTTTTCTCCCAAAAGGTTTCTCTAATTCGATCACCTTTCCCTATTCGCCTGACGGTCTTTGTTTCCTTGTTGAGTAATTGAGAACAAGTCTGTACCAGTTTGTGCTCCCAAACCCGGACACTTCGAGGCTGTGCCGATGAAGAACGACTTCCTTCCGATTCTGAAGCAGACGAAGACGTTGAAGGTTTTTGAAAGGATAATTGGTGGAGTGGTTGAAGCCTTCTTAACAACTTCCGCGTTTGACTGAGGTTCGGCAGCGATTCTGAAGTCTTCTCAAAGGAAAAGACGTTGATCTGTTTTCGAAACTCTAAAAGTTGGACTCTCTCTTTCTGTTCTCTGTTCTTCAGTGCCTCTTCTCCTCGTGTCCAACCTGAAAACAATTCGACCTCATCCCTCTTCTTTCCGTTCCCCTCATCAATCCATCATTCCGTCTTCTTCTTCTTCTTCCTTTCGACCGGTTCCCCACGTTTTTCCGGCCAACTCGAAGGAACAGTTGTTTTAAGAAATCATTCTTTAGACAAGCTTCAAGGACTCTTCAGACGCTGCGCGTTTTTGAGTGAGTGTGAGGTGTTCTTGTCGGTGTCTAAAAAAGGCGCGGTCCCCGGAAAAAAGAGCCTGCTCCTCTAGTGCTCACTTTCTCGGCTCCTTCTCCGTTTCGCGCGTGCCCACCATCATCTGCTTCGGCATGTGCCGTCATTTTCTCTGCTCCTCTGTCTCTTCGTCTTTTGTGATCCCTCGTCGGCGTCCCATCAGACGAGGGCTCTTTTTTTCTCAACCGACACACACACACACACACACACCGCCGGCCGGCCGCCCCGGTTGTTTTGTTTTTTTCTTCTTCTCCGTTTCCTCTCTGTCTCCTTTCCATCTTCATCATCATCCTCATTCTTCTTCTTTTCCTTTTTTAGTCTCCGTCGATGTGTCGTCGGCTCACTTTTGCTCGAATCATCATCATCTCACGGTCTTGTCATTTTTTGGACTCTTTTCCCTTCCCCTCCATCATTATGACACGCGGCGCCCGCTGTCTGCTCACTCCACAACAATTTTTCTTTTGTTTACCTCCTCTCGTTTTCCACGCAATTCGTGGCTTTGCCCACACCCCAAAAAGGTTCCGATTTCATTCGCCGTCTAGTGTAGTCGTTGTCTCCGTGGTCGTCGTCTGAAAACCTGATGGAGGATGATCCAAAATCCGTAGTTAAGAATGTTTTTCTCCTTTTTTTTCGAAATTTTCAGTATTCTGAATCGTGTTTAGTGATTCAAAAAGTTTTTCCTCAAACTATCAATTTTGATAACCTTCAAGCTACCGTAATTCGTCGTTCACGAATTCTCAGAAGTCTAGGCATAATCTTCTATTGATGGCGGCTTTCTAAAAAGCGGATTTCCGCTAGCTCATCCTCATCCGGACTGATTTCCGACACGTTCGGTGACTGAAAATAGTGGAACAAAAAGATGTTTTCCGACCGGCCGCCGAACACCAGAAAAGCAATTATGCGAACGGAAATTAGATTGTCGAGCAGAGCTGACCAAAAGGTCCTGCTCTTCTTTTTTCCGTTTGACGTGCCCATTCTGATTCTGGCGGCATAACTGAAAGAATGTGTGCAAAGTGTTTTCTGTTTTAAAAACGGAAAAAGCGGGTACCTTCTTTTTTTTCGGAAAAAAATTTGGAATAAAGCGAACTCTGAAACTGTTCATGTCTCCAAATTGAAGGCCTAGTTAAAATGAGCCGAAATCCATTCCGCTTTGACATTTGCATAACCTTTCAACTGGCATGAATACCTGCGAGTCTCCATGGGAACCAGAAATGCCGCACTCAACAATGCTCCGTGAGCACGGAACCTAATTATTGCTCACCAGAAAGGAAACTGGTGCACTTGGAGGTCGGTGTCCGATTTTTGAGTCCTTCCGTGTTGATCCCTAGAGCTTTTTCCTGTTGCAATTTTCCTCAAAACTCATTAAATTGCTATAATTGGAATGTTACCTTTCCCGTCGCCTTCCGACACGAAAATGTTTGACCTCTAACCTCTGAGCCCCTTTCTTTCCGCTTTCCGAATCGTTTATTTTGCTCTTACCAAAGCCATCAGACTCATTCGAAGCGTGAAGAAAGTCGCCGTGGGAGGGCTTTCTCGTTTTATTCTCGACCTTTTTTTCTGCCGGCGTGTCCCTGCGCGTGTGTACGTACACTTGTAATGATGACTGACGACGACGTGTACTTTTCATCTCGCAAAAGAGATCTATTTTCGAGCTGCCAGAGAGCTTTGAGCCCCCAAAGGGCTCAAGGTGACTGGCAAGTTGCCAAACTCTTGTCGCCTTCCGCGCCCTCCATGATCTCCGCCACTAATCGGCGGGCTAGTAAAACCCCACGCAGAGCAAGTCTATATTACTTACGGGGCGCACGCACACACGGAAAGACACACGCGGCAACGGCGGCCCCACGCGTTTTACCGCGTTTATTTGCCTTTTGTCAAGCACTCTTGCACATTTTGGCAGGGGGCGCCGTGTGCTGATCATCACCTCCTCCTCCCCTCCTCCGCCGGCTGCTCCTGCTCCGCCGAGCCAAGAGTCGTTCTCTGCGATAACCTGCCCGAATCCGCTGAATGCAGAAACACAGAGTTTCCGTGCTCATTTCAACAAGCACTTCACCTCTGCCCCCGGGAGAGAGATAGAGAGAGAGGGACACAGCTCTCTGCAGCTGCGACCAGTTCTTCTTCTTCTTCTTCTTTCTCTTTTTGCTCCGTGTTCTCTGCCCTTTTCACCTTCAAACAATGGCAATGTTTCGAACCGCGCCACCAAAACCATTGAAATCCGATCCGTGTGTACCGATTGGCTCCACTTGTCTGTGATACCTTTTCCGTCTTGTTCTGGGCCCATGTCTCTTGTTAGCAAATACGGGCTTGTGTATATGGATCTGAGATTTGGATCAAAACACACCTGTGCCACCCACTCTCTCCTTGCTTTTCATTTATTCAATTGGCCAACCTGTTATGTTGTTATCTCATGTGGCTGTTTGACAGCAACTCTTTGTTTAATTTTTTACAAGAACAGCTCGTGAATTGCTACTTGATTCTCTGGAGTGGCTTTAGCTTTAGACAGCTATTTTCAAAATTCAGCGTGTGAACTTTTCTCGTCCCTTCTCTGTCAGCTCTTCAAACTTTGTAAGCAACCGACAGCTCTTCAAATACATTCTATAAACGTTCATTCTAAACGCTCATCCGTTTTGAACCGTAACCCTTCATTTTCCGTTCCGTTTCTCTCTACCGTATCGAACCTCATCGACAAATTCAAGAAGTATCCGGTCTCCGTGCTCGATCGCCGCCGCCTCTCCCCTCGGATGACCTACGCCGAGTCGACTCGATCCGCCGTCGTCTACTCGTCGATCGTGCCGCCGCCTCGCACGCCCGTCGGACCGTCCATGTTGAAAGATGGCGTGCGGAAAGGCTCCGCGTCCGCTTCCGCACTGCCGCTCCAGCCGAAGAACGGCACGAACAGTCTAGACTTTTGGAGTAAATCGGAGGACGAAAAGTCGGGAATCACCTGCTACTACAGTCGTCACAACATTCAGTTTCCCTCGCAAAGACAGATAAATCGGATGAAACAGACGCCTGGAAGGCCTACGATGACCGGTTTCCCCACCACCTCCACAGCGCCTTCTTCTCCGCAACAGAACGGCAACGGCAACGGCGGCGCGATTCGGTATCCGCCGTTTCCGCAAACGCAGCCCGAAGCTGTGATGAGTCCGCCAGTTGGAATCTATCGGAATGTGCCCGCAATGCCACGCGCGAAACTTGCAAAAGAGGAGAAGAACGGGAAAAGTCGGACGGGAGAAGAGAATGGGCCACCGAAGAACGTCGTCTGGGGAGGAAACTCGGGCAGGCGGGGTGGGGACGATGATGGCGGAGCGGCCACGTCGGCCACCATGCCTTTGAATCCGTACAACGGCAACGGTAAGCACACAGACTGCCAGAATGAAAATGACAAATGACAATAAAAAATAAATGATTCGAATTGCCAAATTAAACAATTTGCAGCATCATGTGAGAAGAAGCGATCGACGGCAAGACGGAAACCGAGATGGGCCCGTTGTATGCAAACGCTCTTCTGTTGTGTGACTCCTCCCAGAGAGATTGGTGAGTTGATCGGAAAATTCAGAATACTTAGAGAGGTTTCGCCTTCATATTTTCTTTGATATTTCTCAGTGTTCCAGTATTTATTACACCCCTCCCGCTCCCCCATCCTCTCCTCTTCCCTCGCCGATCGCTCCCTTCTTCCGCCCATCAAAAACTTCTTCTCCGGAACCCCCGCACCTTTCGCACTCGATCGATTCACTGTGTCCTCGCTGCTTTCGAAATTTCCAACAACCTCCTCTGCCAATATTTTTCGCTTCACAAACGCGGCGGCGCAACTTGTCGAGCGACGGCAAAGTGAGTTCAGGCGGCGGCAGAGGGCTGCTGGTTTTCTGGACTGGTTCGCAAATAATCGTTCGCCCCGGCAACCCTCGGGCGGTTTTAATGTGTCACACGCGCTCAAAACTTTTTGAACTCACGATGTTTGCACGTGAGAGAGCGGCACAGCAAGCACTTGCTTATGCGGAAAATAAGGATGGGCGGAGGGGATTAGGCAGTCGAAAATGAGGGTGGAAGTGGAAAGTGGTCGAGTAGAAATTGGGCTCCAAAGTTTGGAATTCAGATTACGGTACTTCAAATCTCAAGATCACAGTTCCACTGACCGCTCTCCAAAAATCACGCCACCTGTCCCAGTCTGTCCCCTAGACACTTGTCGATCATTTCGCCCAAAAATATCACCCGAAGAGTCGAATTTCACGCTCACAAAACGTCCATATCTTCCTCTTCTTCTTCTTCAAATTTTCGTGATGGTGCCGATCGGTGCCTAGGGGGATCCAAGTGGGTGACTCTTTGATTCTTGAACTGCGATTACTCTTCTGTGGGAGTTTCGAGAGAAATCCCATTACAATCTTTCGGCGCATAAGAAACAGGGACAGCTGGCGATCACTGATCCAAAACTCGCAAACCTCGCGATCAGACTCCAATCGGGTCCGCTTTTTGCAGAGAAGATACAATCAAATCAGCGAACGAGCAGCACCACCACCACCAACAACATTCAGAATGGCCGATCGTCGACGCCGACGAACAACGGACCGCCCATTCAACTCATCACGCAGGTATCGCCGGAAAGTCATGTTTCGGACGATCACGATTGGCTTTTCAGGTACATCGCGACGGAACGGTGACCGGATTGCCGACGGTTCCGCAGAACGGCAGTGGAGACGGACCGACTCCGTACGAGAAAATTGCCAATGAATCGGTAAGGAATTTAGAGGATATTCTATGGGAACAGAATTATATTCCGCAGTCGTTTTCCGTAAAGTAGAAAGCTCTTTCGCTGTTTTTGTTTCATTCGTCTGTCCTGTCAGTCACTTTGCACGGCCTCACGAGGTGGTTTGATAGCTCTCATCAAATGGCTTCTGAACTCGCGTCGACCTTTCGCCTCTCCTTAGGATTGCTTCTTCAAACGCTTCCTCTCTTCGTCGTTCTTCTTCTTCATGAAAACAATTGGCAGGCGGAGCGCCGGCGGCTCAGGTGTGCTTTGCCCCCATCTTCACTCATAACAGTTTTGTTTCATCTATCTCTCTCACTGGCTCACTCAGTCAGTCAGTCAGCCAGCCGGAAGGAAGAGAAGCTGAGTGCACTGGATGTGTGTGTAATACCTTTTCTCTTCTTCTTATTCGCCTTCGTTTTCCTCCCATTCACATTCTTTTTGCTCTCTTCTCCGAGCATTTCGTGACCTCATTCCGCCACCGCAGTTCTATGCTTCGGCTCTTCGTTTTCTGATTTATTCGTTCTCGACACTTCTAGTTCCTCTTAGTTTAAACCTCTAGGCCTTCAAGCTGAAAATGAGAGAAAAAGAGCGGGTGAAACGGAAACGGTTAATGTTTCAAGACGAGCTCGACTATCGGCTAAACTATCGAGAACTGATCGAATGGAAGCCGGGCAGAACGCCGTCGGCTCTCGAAATCATTGAATTAGGACTGCTACATTGTGGAAAGGTTAATATCAGAGAAAACGTTGAGATTTAGAAATGACACGCCTTTGAAATCTCAACAAATACCTCATTTTGCAGGTCTCGATCAACGAGAAGCCGCTTCTTCCGCCGCTCCTCCCGCAGGACACGAACAAAAAGTGTCTGGTGATTGATTTGGATGAGACACTCGTGCATTCTTCGTTCAAGGTGAGTCCCAATTTCTCCTCTTCCACCGACAACAGCAGGTCACACATTTTGAACCCATGTGGAATGTGCTGCTGACGTTCCCTTCTCCAAACAACAACTGGTCCCTTTTCAGCCCGTGAAGAATCCGGACTTTGTGATTCCGGTCGAAATTGACGGCGTCGAGCATCAGGCGTACGTGCTGAAGCGACCGTATGTCGACGAGTTCCTCGCCAAAGTCGGCGAGCACTTTGAGTGCGTTCTCTTCACCGCCTCGCTGGCCAAGGTACGCTCGACAGAGAAAGGCGTTCGCGAAACAATCTTTTTTTTAGTACGCGGATCCGGTGGCCGATTTGCTCGACAAAAAGAAGGTGTTCAGGTCGAGACTGTTCCGCGAAGCATGCGTGTTCCACAAGGGTAACTATGTGAAAGGTCAGTCGGAATGCTGTAGAAAAGGGAATGCTAATCTGAACTTGAACTTTCAGACTTGAGCCGTCTCGGAAGAAATCTGAGCCAGACCCTGATCATCGACAACTCGCCCGCCAGTTATGCATTCCACCCGGAGAACGCGGTACGCTCAATTTCAACTCAAAATTAGTATATTTTTGTCGGTTTTTCAGGTGCCAGTTACGACGTGGTTCGACAATCCGGCAGACACGGAACTCATGGATATTCTGCCGACGCTGGATCACTTGAACGGGGTGAGTAGGCCGAAAGACTCCAACTCGGTCATAGATTTCCGAAAATCATCTATAATTTTTCAGTTCTCGAGCATCTACGACCTGTACCGTCCGGAAGAAGGTCCGCAATCGGAGTTGCTCAACCACTGTTCCTGCTGATTCCTCATATCATCCCACACAACACTTCCCTCCTCTCATTTGTCCATTTCCACTGCAGTCAATTCGTGTTAGTCATTATTTCCCCGCCTGTCTCCCCGATTATTGCCCATCTGAATCCTTGCATATCCTCTCAGGACCGTCTACTTCCCGACCCCCCCCCCAATTTTTCAAAAGATTTCTATTTTTTTCCCAAAACTCCCCGTTTTCCGTGTCCCACTTGCCTTTTCATTGTTTTCTTCTCAAAAAACGATTCCCAAAGCTCCGCCCCTTTTCTAGGCTCCCGTTCGTTCATCATTTCTGCGACAAAATGTGATCTTTCCCTGGAAAAAAAAACAATTTGCAAGTTAGTTCACACCTTCCGCAATTAGGGCTTTTTATTTTGTCCAAATTTTTATGTTGTGCCCCCTTCCCCCCTGTTTCCAATTGTCCAAATTCTCTTGTACCGCCTCTCATAGCTGCTCCTTCCTAGTGACTCTGTAAATATGAGCTCGCGAAACGGATTCAGACGGTCGCCCCGCCATCGTCGAATCCGTTCCGTTTTCCGTCGTTCCCGTGTGTTCATTTCCGTGTTCCCACTTTTTCCCCTTTCTGAAGACGTGCATCCAGTGCCTTCGTTCCCAATCGCAAACCCGAGTTCCTTCCCTTTTTTACACGTATCGAAACAAAATTCTTCCCACACCTGAAAATTTTTATTGTTTCCTCTTTTTTACACTAAAAATACTCTTTTGCAGTATTACCCCGATGAGCACCCGGTTCACAAATCCCCTCCTTTCAAAATTTTTTTATAAACGAAGAGTTCTTCTTCATTGAACAGACTTCTAGAAGTTTGCGAACAAAGAAGCACAAGAATTCGAATTTATGTCTTCAATTTACTAATTCAGGGCAATGAAAGGAAAGGAAATAGTTTCAAAAATAATTCAAATAGACGTGCACTTTGGAAAAGGGGGGTAGCTACACGGGATCAAGTTATACACGAAAAGAATCGAATAAGAATGCAAAAAATGTCGAATGCTAAGAAAATGGGTTCTGAACACAATAAAACATTATGTTAGTGGGGGTTAAAATGTGGATTTTGGGTGACTTGAGAAACTAAACATGAGCAGTAGAGGCCAGAAGTTATCACTGCTTGATACAATCGAGCACAAGAAAATCAGAAAGTCAACACGAAAACGCCGTTCTGGAACAAGACGGTTTCGTGACATTTGTCGCGAATGAATGCGCATATGTCAAAGTATTCGGGGATCTCGGGGATCTTCTGTTTGAAATAGGGCATCATGTTCCTCATGTCTTGCTCCTGAAACCATGCAATTGCTCTCTATTACATCATTTCACAAAAACTCACAGTCACATCGCGGCCCGCATCAGTCTGGCTGGTCACGTAGGCCGTCACTCTCGTTGCCAGTTTGAAGCCAAAGTCGGTTTGCATTTGCGGCTGCCCGACGAGCAGTCTCGATTTGACAAGAGCCGTCGTGGAAGGCCGCCCGTTGACCATCGGAACGACGTGATTGTACGGGTTGAAGGTGGACGATGTCTGCTGACGTCCCGCTTGATACGGGGCAGGTTGCGGACGGTAGTGATGACCATATCCGCCGTCCTCGTTCTCGTATCGCGAGAACGGTCTCTGTCCCGGTTCTGGTTCCGGATTACGGTAGTCGCGATGGTAATTGTTGGACGAGCTCGATTGCACGTATTGGTTGTAATCGTCGCGAGGAGGCGGTCGCACCCGCTGATTCGCCGACGAATACGGACCTCTCCTAAAAGATAATTGTGAATTCAACAAATCGGGTATTACTCATTTCTAGAACTTACTGATCGTAACCGGATTGTTCGTAGCCATAATTGTGTGACATCGGCGGCTGCTGTTGTGGCGGCTGTGTATAGTGTGTCCGAGTAGTGAGATGAGATACCGGATGGGAATCGTATGCACTTTGAGACAGCTGTGGACGTTGATACGCATTCTGCGGTTCGAAGTGACGCTGCTGCTGCTGATATGGAGCGCTCGGACTGTACTGTGGCTGCTCATCGTACTGTTGTGCAGGTTGACAGTAAGCAGGATACTGAGCGTAGGCGTTGACTCGAGGAGGTGGCTGAGAAACGGCCTGGTTCATCCCCTGATACTGAAACAAAATCGTTTACAGAACGTCGTTAACTTTTTCTTTGTGATTACCCCGCTTGTTCTTGGAGGACCAATATCATGCGGCATACGAGTCGGAGCGTCGGCAGGAACGCTGAAAAGAAATGACGATGAAATAAAAGCTATGGACGAATTGGGGGCAGGGTACTTAAGGATAACTTACTTCCCGTGGGCTCTGGCGAAGCCTTTACTAGGCTCCGGTTCTGCGTATGGGCGATTGATACCCGGATGAACACGTTGCGGCTTCTCGATGGGCGCCTTCTGCCTGGCCAGCTCAATGGCTACCTCTCGCTCGCTCGCCTCCAGCGCCATTCGTTCCTGTTCTTCCCTCTTTCTGTTCTCCACAATCTGATGCTCGGCCGGCCGTCCTGGGAGTCCGGATGCGCTAAAGTAATCGTGCACCGAGTCGGAGATTTGGAGTATCGACATTTGGCTGGTTACTGGCGGCGGAGGCGGTGGTGGAGGGACGACATAATTTTTAGTAGAAGTACGAGCAGGAGCACGAGTAGTAGCTTCGACGGGAGAAGAAGTGCGGACGCTAGCGCGGGGGGCACTTTCCTCGGCAGACGAGTCACCGTTCGGAACAGGGAACGTCGTATGACTGAATCTGTTGTCGCCTGAAAATAAATGCTATTTACGCGTTTATTGCAGGTTGATCGTACGGTGTTGGACAGGTTCCGCGTGTACTTTATTCTTCCTCTCCTCCATCTTTTTCTCTCGTCTCTCATTCTTTACTCTTCTCAACATCTTCCTCTGCGTCTTCTCATCTTCGTCCTCATCCGAGTACGATCCGTTGGAGCTCATCGAGAAATCGGACGAAGTGTCGCCAATGTCTCTATCGTCAATGCGCCGGTTCGTCGTCTTATGATTCGCAAAGCCGTCTGCCGGAGGGCGCAGTTCCCCGAGCCCTTTCACGTGCGTAGGAACATCACTGAACGGATTGAATGCGACATGGGCTGGAGGCAGCGCCGGAGCACGTTCCTCCGATGACTGTCGACGTTCGGGAGAGCGGAAACGGCGGTTTTCCGAAGGGCTGCACGAGCGACGTTTGCTATCCTGCTGCTGCTGCTGCTGCTGTGATCTCGTAGCGTCTATCGGATGAGACGAAGACGTGGGCATCTGAAAAAACGAGAAATTTAGTGAACAGAAACAGTCGGTTGACTGCCAATCGATAACTGAAGACGCAGCGACGCGTTATCAGTAAAAGTGGCTGGGCAAAGGAAAAGCGGTTCTTGGAAAAAGTCGCTTACGAGTGAACCTTCGTCGTCCTGATCGATTCCACCGGTGAATTTGACCGGCTTGTAGTTGGGATCAGGCTGCACTTGCTTCTTTTTGTACTGAGAAGGCGGACCTGAATAATTTGGGGAGGCGATGAGCGTTTGTTCGACTCCATTACCTCTTCCCCTGTTTCCGTTACGATCTGCATTTGCATTTCCGTCCGATTCGAACTTTCGCCGAACATCTTCAACGTTATCGTTCGTGAACAGGGAAACGGTTTCTGAAGAGTAAACAACATGAAGAATCAAGAAAATCATCTACTGACCGCCTTCACGGAAGGAGAATTCTGCACTTCTAGCCGAAGTTTGGATTCCGGAGAACTTTGGCATTTCGATGAACTTCTTCAGGCCCGACCGATTCGTGTACTTTTTGAACCAATCAGAGTCCCATTTCATGTCGGGGTGAAGATCGAGCACCGCATAAAACTCGGTATACACTTCCGGGTACTTCATCTTTTTGACCATGTGCTCGAAGGCGTTCGCAAGGTGCTGATAGTTGGCCACGTTTGTCCGCTGATCGTCCATCATAGCCCTCATCAGTTTGCAGATCATGTTGAAAGTGTTCATAGCTCTGATTTCGGCGTCTGCATTCGGATAGATCTGTGCCTGCATTTTTTTATTCGTTTCGAATCGCTGACTGAAAATGTGGAAGTTTCTTGAACGCAACCCAAATGTTGGCACTCACTTATTCTCGGCTCCGCTGATCAACGCCTGAATCACGTTTTTCTCCGATTCGGCGATCACAGGGAAGAAGTTTCCCTCCTCGTTCATCGTCACCCATCCGCCATTCTTTAAAGCGTGCAGAATCTCGATCTGAAATGATATTTAAGTCTTTCGGTCTTTTCTCGATCGAAACCTTTGACTTGGTTGCCAGCCTACTGAAAATCTCCTGGCCGAGGAGAAGATACCCAGTGTTGTGCAGGTTAATGTTCACCAAATCCACAAGATTCTTGTCAATATCGTCCGGTGTGAGTCCTTGCTTGAGCTTCAGAGGGTTCGCGACCATTGCCGACGAGAGATACAGCTGAAGTTTTTGCTAAACGTGCATGCGATTCGAATCGACAACTCCGAGGGCTTACCTTCATCAATTCCTTCGTTCCTTCGTCTATTTCAGGAGTCATCCGTTCTTCCTGTGCCGCAATTTGCGCCTGTCGAATGTTGAGTTTTTCAGGCTCAGGCTCGACAAATTGCTCCTGGAAAATCCCGTTTATTCCCGTTTTTTTTGTTGTAATTTTTCTAAAACCTGTTCGGTAACTGCCTGGTTCTCGCCGACAGGCCCTCTGTACTCTTCGTACAGATCGAGATCAAAGTCAGAAGTGCCGGAGACGTAGGACGCGGGCGTGTTGGAGCGGTCTTCGTCGCTCGGCGGAAGGCCCAGCAGGTGCACTTCTGCGGCTCCGTTCTCAGTCGTAACATGCTCTTCTTCGTCGTCAATGTCGAGTTCGGGAAACGATTCGTTTTGATCGGACATCACCTGCAGAGGAAAAGTTGGACGTTTCAGAAGAAAAGAGAATGAGCAACGCCGAAAAGCCAACTGAATGAACGGCAGAAATGCGAGCGAGAGAGCGGACGCAGCTGCTTGCCGTCGAGTGCGGTGGAGCGTGTTTGCATTGCTCTGACGCACATTTTCAGAACAGTCCCAGAAAAAAGACCAGGCAAAAAATGCAGGGAAGAATCGAATGAACTTGAGGCTGAATCGCTTGGATGTTTTGGGGCTATTTTCAGAACTTTTGTATAATTTTGATAGTTTTTATGGACTATTAGTCTTGAACGAAGTTTCTGCCTCAAAAAGGCTGGGCCCGGTCCATTCGCCCCAGCCCTCAAGAATGAGTTCTTTCGAATTTGAAATGTATTTTTATTCCCACTGAATCGACAGGTTTTGTTAGAATTCTCTGATTCTCGAACCACTTTCCACACATTTCTGCGCACTATGAAAAGAGAAGAGTCCATAAATAAGGAATGACATTTGAATGGGCGGGAAAGTTGGGGCGATGACATTTCGCGTACACTTTTATGAGATGACCTCATGCTCTCTGGGAGATCTTCAGAATGTCGACTCGAGTCCTTTTGCAGTGTCGCCTCTGTGAATTCTTCCAACTTTTCAAGAACCCGGCGCGTTGTGTTCGTTCCGTTTGCTCATGCATTCTCGAGATGTTTATTGATGGATCGACATGCCGCCGTCACTGGAATAAGACGAAAACGGACGCCATAACATTATTCCGTCCCTCGAAAACGTTTTTCTTCCCAAAATGTTCCTTCTCCCTCACTTTTTCACTTTTTTTTTGCGTTTGTGCCCTCCGGTCAAATGGCGAAAGGCCAAAGAAAGAGTCTGGCCGCGATGCTTCCGCCTTTTAGCAAAAAACGTCATTGCGGGAGGGATAGAGGCGTCCTGATTCTGCAACGACGATCTCTGGAAACGGAAAGGAAATATACACACTGTGTTGGGCGGAATTCCGTCTGCCGTTTTCCGTCTTCCGGGAAAAAAGTTTTCTTCCGTCTTCCGTTTTCCGTAAAAAAAAAATTTTCTTCCGTCTGCCGTCTGCCGTCTTCCGGATTTCAAAATTCCATTTCCGCTCAACTCTGATACATAGAGGAAGTAGGCCTGCGTCGTTTTCTTTATTTCAGGTTTCAAGTTCATAAAAGTCTGTGGCATAAAATTTCTCATGGCCGGACCACTACTGACAACGAAAGTTCTTGACTCTTTCTGAAACACTTGGGTGTACTATTCAGACTTGTTTGGAGTTTTTGGAATTCATTTAGTAGAATCTTACAAATTGGTGGGGTCAAGGGCTTTCCGAGTGAGACTCTGAATTTCGAATTTACAAACGAACGCCCGAAGTCCTCATCAGCCACGTCATCCGGTTCCGTCCGGTGGGAGCGATTCTTCTTCAAATGTTTCTGGGGGAACTTTTCGTCCTTTCGGCGCCTCTTCCTCCTCAAAATCTCGGGGGCCAATTGGGCGGAAAACGAAGAAGAAAGAAGAGCCGTCTCCCTCTTCGCCTTCTTCTTTTTCTCCTTATTCAGCTCGAAACTTTTAAACGACGGGAGGCCGCTCTCATCTTTTTCCCGGCCGAAATGTTGCTCTCTTCTCTCGAGACATACTCGTTATGCCCCCCACGTCTTTATGTTTGTTTTTTCGCGCCCATTTGTCTTGATGCGGGAAAACCACCGTCCAACGCTTTCCTCTTCTTCCTCCTCCGTTTCGCTCCTTCTCTTCGGTTCCAGCACTCTCTCGTCGCCTTTGTTCGGCCAGAAGATCCCTCCGAATCGTGAGTCTGTCTGTCTTCCAGAATTCCCATTTCTGCAAGTACGTCATCCGAAATACGCTCCGCCACTTCATGAATTATCTGGAAGCGAAAAAGAAGCGCATAAGCAATGCTTGTGCATCGTCTTCGCAATTCCGTGCTATTCGTTTATCAGTTGGAGACCAAAGAAGACGTCATTCGCACATTTTGGAGTGTGTGTGCTCGAAGCAAGTCAAAGTAGCCGGCTCTGAGATATCATTGCTCACTTTTGTCTTTCGAATGCATTCAAAACTGGTGTCCAACAAAAGGAATACGGTTGCAAAGTGTCCAGTTCTTACTCTCGCTTCTCAGTCCTTTAATTTTGAACTGTTTACATCAAAATTGTTTGTCACTTTCCTTCTTTTTCTTCTTAATTCTCTATGGTTAGCTCTGAACACCGTGAAATTTTGCAAAACCGATGAGAAAAGTTTGGATGCTCAGTTCTTTATGATACATTTTCAAGAATATGTGCGCCACGTCATCATGCCGGAACCATCGCATAGTTTCCATCAAGTCACATGACCCATTTATCCGTCACCCGCTGGCATCCCCTTCCGCGCCCCCAAATGTACACATTTTGCCTAGCCGCACATCAAAAACAGGGCGATAAATCTCGATCTGCACCACAAAATTACATGGTTCCGTGCCCGACGTCTTCTTTTTTCCGCCGTCTTCCTCTTCCCTATTACCCTCTTTTCAATTTGACGACTTTTCCATTTTATGACTCGCTTCGAAATTATAGAAGATTGACATGTGCACAGCAGTGTTGAGCGGAATTCCGTCTGCCGTCTTCCGTCTTCCGTCTTCCGTGGTTTTTTTTGTTCCGTCTTCCGTCTGCCATCTTCCGTGAGAAAAGTTTTCTTCCGTCTTCCGTCTGCCGTCTTCCGTAAAAGAATGTTTCTTCCGTCTGCCGTCTGCCGTCTTCCGGGATTTTTTTTTTCTTACCGTAAAAGAGTAATAGCTTTTCAAGAACCATTTACTAGTCCCGAAGAACGCGAATTTCCACGGGCAGTACCCAGATCCAAAAGTTTTGTTGCATTAGTTATTTTTTCAAAAAAAAACCGGAAAAAAAGCTCTGAATTGACGATTTTTTGTTCCGTATTCCGTCTGCCGTCTTCCGGGAAAAAAGTTTTCTTCCGTCTTCCGTCTGCCATCTTCCGTGAGAAAAATTTTCTTCCGTCTTCCGTTTTCCGTGTTCCGTAAAAATTTTTTCTTCCGTCTGCCGTCTGCCGTCTTCCGTATTTCAAAATTCCACTTCCGCTCAACTCTGGTGCACAGTGTAAAACAAGAAAATCGGATTTCGGCGGACCGGGAGAAAAAAAAAGAGAAAAGGGCGTAGTTTGGTCTTATTTCGCATGTTTTATTGTGCTTTGAATGATGGATTCCCACGAGAGAGCAAAAAAGTGATGAAGGAGATAAAGATAAAGGGCCGAGAGGAAGACGGATTGTTTCGACGCAAGAAACGAAACATTCATGCTCTGTTTTGCATAGCTCCGCGGAGTTTGAAAGTTTCAGCTTGTACATCGAAAAAAAAACGTTTGAATTCGAATTATCTGCGTAACGACTCAGCTGATACGATACGGACGGTCAAATTTAGCCATAAAAGACTTTTGTGAACCTTGGCATCTGCGCGGGACGAGCTAACGCTCGGATGCTACTTGCTTGTTTCATGCGAATAACCGTTCGAGAGCTCAAGGGGCAGTAAATTAAAATGCGCAAAAGTTGCATGTTTAGCACAGAGAAACATCATTTTTAGGCGATTCCCCGCGAGGCCTGTTGGGGGATTGTAGAAATCACAGTCAATTTGAAAACGGAAGCGCGTTTCAAGTGCTTGCGCATTTCTAGATACCGCGGGGTCTGAAATTTCGGTTTTTGCCCGGAATTGGGGTAATTCCGATAGGAAAAAGAAAAACTTGATTGTGAAAATTGCGTTAGGGATGATAATGTTATTTGAACACTAAAAACACGAAGTTTCACATTGGAAAACGGTTTCCGACAGACTTTTTCAGTATTTACGGTTTTTTGGGGTCTCGTTCTCTATTTTTGAATTTGCAGAAGAGCACTTGGGTTCATTCGATAGACATAATTTTTCCTTATGCTAGATGACGATCAGTTTCTAGGATTCACTCTTTTCCGAATTTAGCGATCCATGCAAACATTTTACAGTACAGAAAAAGGAGAAATGTGTCAGCAGGGTCCGTGCGGATGCGCCTTTAGATTTGAAATTGACTGCCGCAGGAGGCGGCTGATATCTTCAATCAGTTTTCAACGATGTGCTCATTTTAGCTCTTCTTCAGTGCGCTCTGGCGGCATTCTTCATCAACTGAGGCACTTCACTTTCTCTATTTTCCATTTATTTGAAACTTTAAAATCTAGAGGTTTAATTATTTTTGTCAAAAGTCATTCGGTTCTGACAGAGCCCGATCCTCCTCCGATGCTCATTTCGCAAGAGTTCTAAATAATTCCCGTCACGCTCTTCTCTTCTGCCAACTAAAAAACGTTCGCGAAGAATGAGCAATGCTTTTCCTCCGAATCGGCTCATCTTTGCGCCCATTCCACACCCACTTTGCTGTCTATCTCGCTCCCGAATCTTCTTGCAATTCGTCCGATTCTCCCTCAAAACCCGAACAAAAAAGTTGTGTTCGGGAACACCCGCAACCCGTATTAGTATTAGTCTCTTGTCATTTTTCATTTCTCTCCCTCCCGCCGCTCCCTTTTTTCTTCGGCTCCGCCCATTTTCTGGTGCTCCCAGAGCCGCACGAAACGGAAACCGGGCCGTCGAATTGAATTGTGGCGGCTGCGACGGAGCAACGGAGCAGCGCCGCTTTTCGACGACAGCTCATCTCATTTTCGATGACAGAGAAACATCGCTTTAGTCGCTCGCCCATCCTAAAAGCCATTGTCAAATTCCTTCCCGCCTTTTTCTCTCTTTCTTTCTTTCCTTATTTCGAGAGAGAAAGAAAGACAAAAGAACAAAAACAAAATGTGAGTGAGAGGGCGTCAAATTGACGAGAAGAGCCGCCCGTTTACATCTTCTGATTTTGATGGCTTCGCGTTGTTTATTTGGGAGGCGCCGCCGCCGAGCTTAGCGAACGGCGAACAACTTGAGATTCCGTCTAATTCGGAAGAAGAACGGCTTTGGGTCTTGCAACAAACGGCCGTGATACGGTCTCGGCAAAAAGTACTGAGAATTTAGTGCTGTATAGATTTCCGTATTCTGAATTCCGCGCTTCGCTTTCCGTCTCTGGTCTTCCGCTTTCGGTATTCCGCATTTCTCTCCAATAATCTCGGTTACTTCAAAGTACGCTAAAGCTATCATTTGCACATTCGTGCCAAGAATCATCGTGTCCACTTAAAGCCCCATGTTTCCTAATTGAAAAGGACATCATTTGATGGTCGCCTAATCATCATTTTGTTGCGTGTAACCCATAAGCCTCTCCCCTCCCCTTTTCATTCCTTTTTTCATTTCTTCCTTCACTTGCTCCTCAACTCCTCGTTTTGTTTCATGATCAAGCCGGTCCCCGGGGGGGCGGACCGGGCGGTTCCTAAAAAAGACGGGAAAGAAGCGCTCTTGAAGATTATGACATTTTGAGAGGGCTTACCACTAACGTCCTCTTCGGAAGTTTAGCGTGGAAACGTGGAAGTGGATTACGGTAGCACCCAAGATCAGCATGTGTCCGGATCCGGTCCCATTCATCTATCCATCCCCCCCATCAAATGCCACATTCCCGTTTTTCAATATATCTGCCGCCACATATCCACATATTGCCTTTCCTTTTGTAATTCGACCCGCTCATTCCGAATGGCTTTTCGAAATCACTTGTGACGTGGCGGTTCCTAGCACACGGCCAATTGAGCCCTCCCCATTCGGTTCTTCTTCTTCTTCTTCTTCTTCTTCTTCTTCTTCGTCTTCTCCATTCGTCCCCAATTCAATCAAGTACTCTTTTGTTTTTGCCCCCTCCCTACTTTTCCTCATTTTTCTGCTGCCTTCTCCTCAAAACTCGATTTCAACTCGAAGAACCTCGACAAGTCTTCCCCGCTTACTCTTTTCCAATTATTTGTTGTTTTTTGTCGGAAATTGACTTTCGCGTTCCGAACGACAAGTCCTACGGTAGAGTGGAATGGGCGGTCTCTTTCTTCTTCTTCTTCTTCTTCTTCTTCTTCAGAAGAGTCGCTCACTTTACCACTTTCGAATTAGACTGTTTCCCATCAAACTACTTGATTAATTGAGGGACACACCCACCTATTTTCAAAATCTGAAAATCCTTTTAGACAGGTTTTCCATCATCATTTTTCAAGTCGACAACAGAAGAATGAGCCTCCCCGATGAGACCCACTCATTTAAGACGATAGTTCTCAGTGGCCGGTAGAAATATCAAAAAGTTGTCAACTAATGAATTGATTATTAGGAGATTTTGTACATTTTATTAGTTGATCACATTTTGATATCTCTAGAAACAGCTGAGATAAACAAGTTGGAATGAAAAGTATAAGCTCTGTCTCGAAATTTTCAAACAAACTTCTGGAACCGGCTTCAATTTTTCAGCCTCTGATTCTAGACTCTCTGGGTGATTTGTCTGACATTTCGAGCCGACATTATCACTTGTCCTCCTCACCTTGCGCTCGCCCCACTTCTGGTCGCGTGCTCTTTGTGCATAATCAATTCGCAGGTCACCGTCTGCCTTTTGCTCTTTCTTCCTTTCCCACTTCTGCGCATTTCCACTCAAAGTATTGTTGACGGCAACCGCTGGCGCGCAAAACGATTACCTGGCCCCACTGGCTGGCGAAAGCGGGCTTTGTGTGCTCCGGCCCGCCCCTTTTTGGAGCAGGAGCCTTCCGTTTCTCAATGTTCCGCTCGAGTAGTCGTCGTCGATTTGAAAAGCGAAAGAAAGGCGAAAAGAATGCGTCGTTGTGTGCGCGGCTCTCTAATCCCGGTTCCTCGCCAGCAAGCACCTTTCACATCAAAACTTTTCTTCGAATATTTCTTCTTTTTCTTCCTCCCTTCCTTCCTTCCTTCCTTCTTTCTTGTCGTTTTCCAAAACGTCGAAAACCAGGCGAGAGGCAAACATTTCCGGAGGGAGGGACCGCCTTAAACTGATTGTCAAAGATTCGTGGGAAAGCGTGGGATGGAACGAAGAAGACAATGATCAGACATCTGGATGTCCCTTCGTTTCATTGGATTCTGGTGCCGGTGGGAACGGCACATTCGAGATCATTTGGGAGCTGCTGGCTCAGAAACATTCATTCACAAACTCACAATATATAATCTGATCCCTGCATAATCTGAAAGAGCTTGTTCGTCATGGTAACAAAAAGAGAAGCTCACAACTCCACTCAGCGCTGACTTGTGTACATTTTGTCCGGGGCTCGGCAAAAGACTCGCATGCAGTAATCAATAATCCGACCGGATCCGAACTTTGCAGACTTCTTGGACTTGGATTAAAAAAGTATTTCGGGTCCAGACCGATCCGATTATCTTGTCCCGAGATATACAGGTTTGAGGCCGAAAATATCGCAATTCCGGTCTTTTTGGCCTCTGATCCAGATCTCGCGGGACCTGAAACTTGGACCCAAAATACTTCAATCCAAGTCCAAGAATCCTGCAAAGTTTGAGCCTGATCGCAGTATCGCAGTATGTCCAGGCCTGGTTTGCTCTAATCTTTTTCAGAAAAGTCTCCTCATTTTTCTGCGTAATCCCCTTCTAAGTGAGTACTTGTTTACCCTCCCTACCCAACATCTTCTTTCTTCGGCTCCTTCTTCTTCTTCTTCTTCTTCTTCTTCTTCTTCTTCTTCTTCTTCTTCTCCGGTAGGCACGTCATAATCCAGCAGTCTCAAGTATCAGCTTACGAGTGCATTCTTCTTTATTTGTCCTTGGCCCCTTGGTCCTGGCTCACTTCTTCTTCTTCTTCTTCTTCTTCTTCTTTTTTCTCATTTTTCCTTCTAGCCCCCCGCCTCCCTTCCATTTCCGAAATCTGTGAGACGGGCGCCGTTTCATCAGACACTCCCGTTCCGTCTCTTTTTTGTTTTTCCGAGATTGTCACCGGCGGCTTAGCTCTCCGAAATGACTATGATATCAGCGGTGCGCATCATTCGAAAAAGAAGATCATCCGCACAGATTTTCGGCGAATTTTTGAGAAAAAAAAACGGCAGAGCTCTTTCGGTATTGTGCGAGCTCACAAAATTACTTGTTTTCTAGACACTCACCCTGTAAATCGGAAATGTTTTCATATATTTTTCATAGAGAATGAATCATCCATCTATAAAACATGAATATTATCACATAACACATCTCTCGTGCTTCCCTTCCCCCCCCTCCCTCCGAAATTAATAAGCGTAGTAAACAAGTGTGTACGTCCGTGTGAAACTCACCAAAAACAGCGATCGAACACAAAACACGAGGTTTTATTTATTCTCCTCCAATCCGTTTTTCTTCTTTCAGAAAAAGGCCCGCCCATTCGAGCGAGCGCCCGAAAAAATACTAAATTTTTCATCGTCATTGGGTCATTTTGCTCTTTTTTCACTTTCGTCCTCGTCGTTGTGTCGCGTTCCGACTGCATCAGTGTCCTTCAGATGCGCGTCGGCTCAACTGTGCGAAGTCGTACCAAAGGACGCGTCGTCAGGCGTCTCGTCCTCCTTCCGATCGCCATCGTCGCCCTCTTCGGAGCCGCCCATGTGCTGAGAGAGCGGCGGAGCGAACGGGATCCCGGAATACCGAGGGAGAATAAGGAGGAGGTGCCGTTTTGGAAGACCGTCTTGCCCACTTGTAATCGGTGAGTTTAGAGAGTGGGCATCAAAGAGCACCACTATACAGTTCGCTCAGGACGATATATTTCAGCTGCCGGTAAAAATATCAAAAAGTTATCAACTAATGAAATGTTCACAAAAACATTATACACAATTTCTTAGTTTACACCATGTTCTTATCTCGTCCGGCAGCTGAGATACATTGTCCAGAATGACCGGATACACGATTTCTTGCTACAAACGTATAGTATTTACGGTAGCAGAGGTATGAAGTTGTAGTTTTCAAGACAAGGCTGAGTATAATCTACATATCTATCTAGAACTTTATTTCTCCAGTTGACCACTTTTTTGTACAACAACCCCTGAAACTAGAATAGCTCATATAAAGTCAACAAGAGAGAAACGAATTCATCCAGATCCTTGATTCCACCGGCTTCCGAAGTCAACGACGACGGCCAATTTCCTCCGGATCCGTTCTCTCTGAAACAACGTCAAAGTGGATTCGGTAAGCCCCTCTCTTACTTCTTCTCTCTCTCTTTCACCTCTTACAACTCGCCCGTCCGCCTACAGTTATCCTCCACATGTGCGGTCTCATCTACATGTTCGTTTCGTTGGCGATCGTCTGCGACGAGTTCTTCGTTCCCTCGTTGGACGTGCTCACCGAGAAGCTCTCGTTGTCCGATGACGTGGCAGGTGCCACATTCATGGCCGCCGGCGGATCCGCTCCCGAGTTCTTCACATCTGTTATCGGCGTTTTCATCGCGCAGAATAATGTGGGAATCGGCACGATCGTTGGTGAGTTGAGCGAAGGGCTCAATGATCCGAATGCTCTGATCCTTTCAGGTTCGGCCACTTTCAACATCCTCTGCGTCTTGGCCTTCTGTACCCTCTTCTCGAAAACGATACTGGATCTGACGTGGTGGCCCCTTTTCCGCGACGTCTCCATCTACATGCTCGCGCTCGCAATGCTCGTCTTCTTCTTCATGGACGAAATGATCACTTTCCCGGAAGCGCTCGCCATGTTCGTCGTCTACATCCTCTACTGCACCGTCATGAAGTTCAACGTCCAACTGGAGTCGCTCGTCAAACGCGGCTCCGATGCGGAAGAAGCGACGGTGCACGAGACTCAGAAGCTGGCAGCCGACACGCCGCACAACAATAACAACAACGACGTGGTAAGCGGTCACTTTTCCCCTTGTTCTCACTGAATTAACGTTGTGCTCAGGCGGCTTTGGAAGGCAACGAACTGCGCCGTCGTTCGTCGGCTCGTCGCCAGTCCGTCCCGATTCTTCACTCGGGAACAATGTTCCGAAACGGAATTATGCAATTGATGAATCACACTCTTGAGCAGTTGCCTGAAGGTAATACGAAAAGAGAGAGAGAGAGAGAGAGAGAGTTATGAATTCTTTATGAGTCGTGGCGGCGGTTTTTGAGCACCTCCTCTGGTTCTGGTGCTCACTGAGCTCACTTGAAATTGTTGTGTGAAGTGAATGTCACGTACTACTCCATTCCAGACTCGGAGGAGGACGACAGCTCGCGGAGCCGGAGCAACGTGAACGTCGAGTCGCACGACATGAATCGCCTCAACGTCAATCAAAACGTGCCCGACCGTCGCTCGTCACAGATCGAGGAGATTGTAGGCGTCAATCTCGCTCGCAACTTTTTGTTTATCTCTGTTTGTCTCTTTTGCAGAAGTCACTGCTCGAGGAGGAGGAGGAGAAGCCGTTGGACATGACTTGGCCCGAAACGTGGCCGAAACGCTTCACCTACGTGCTGTTGGCGCCTGTCGTCGTGCCGATGTGGGTCACGATTCCAGACGTCAGAAGACCTGTAAGGGGGAAGAGAGGATCGCCGAGAGAGACCGACATTTTCGTTTCAGCACAACCGTCAATGGTATCCGGCGACGTTCATCATCTCGATTCTGTGGATCGCCTTCTTCTCGTACCTCATGGTTTGGTGGGCCAACACCATCGGCGAGACCTTCGTCATTCCCACCGAAATCATCGGACTCACCATTCTGGCCGCGGGAACCAGTATCCCCGACCTTATAACCAGTGTGATTGTGGCGCGCAAAGGACTGGGAGACATGGCGGTCTCCAGTTCGGTCGGCTCGAACATCTTCGACGTGTGCGTCGGGCTGCCGATCCCGTGGCTCTTCTTCTTCCTCATGGAGTACATCAAGAATCCGGACGTGCCGCTGACGCCAATCTCCGTCAGCTCGAAGGGACTTTTGTGCTCCGTCGGCATGCTCTTCGTCATGCTCATCGTCCTTGTCTTCGCCATTTTCCTCTCCGGATGGAAGATGAACAAGGTTCCGAACCCTTCCGAACATGCCGACTCAATCGAATCTCTTTCAGATATTCGGAATTCTGATGATCGTCTCCTACCTGATCTTCTGCTTTTTCTCGGTCGCACTCGAAACTGACAAACTTGTGTGCCCATTGAATATGTGCGGATAGCCAACTACAGTATCCCCCCACCTTCTCAAAAATGGTCTGCATCAACGGGTAGCACAAGTTTTTCGCCTAGTGACGACTTCATTCACATATTGCCCTATTTCCCTATTCCATTAGTTGTGTGTCATTCATTTTCCGTCATTCGCAAACAAACAACAACAATGTACACTAATTTCAGATTTCATTCAAAATTTGTCACCGTCGAATCGTATTTATCGTAATAAAACCATCGTATTTTGCGTGATTCTAGATCAGCGCCACGTCAATCTCCTCTTCCGCTTCCAGCTCGGTTTCATTCAGACGCTTGACGCCTTCGTTGGTCGGCTCTGGAGGCGCAAAACGGGCGGCTCGGGAAGAGCTCTCGTCGTGCTGCTCATCGTCCAATTCGGCCGAGTTGAAGCGCGATTGAGCCTCTTCTCTGTTCACTTGGTGCTCCGGCTCCGCGTTCCAGCCACCCGAGTTTTGAGATCTGGAAGTTGGGGGGGTTAAAGGACCAGGGAACCCTTCAATTTGTTTTATTGTTTTGTGTCTGTTTGAATTGTCTCTTATTGCCTCATACACTCGTGAAATGCTGACTCTCAGAAGTGCCAATGAACAAAACGGCGTGCAGTTGAAGTTGTGGCCGTGGCCTAGGAAACTCCGACGTGAAAACTCTTCCCTGTGAGCAGTTTGATGCTCTTGCACTATGTATGGATGCTGATTTGTGTGAATGTTTTGCAACGTATGAAGATTGCGCCGAACGCAACAAAAAAATCCGGAAAAGATCACAAGGCCTAGAACTTTTCTGGGCCACGGCCACAACTTTTACTAAGCGTTGTTCCATTCACAAGTGTTTCTGAAAGTTGGGGCTCGGACAGTGAATGTGGCAATAAGAAGCAATTCAGTCAGAAACATAAACTTGGAGGGTTCCCTTGTCCTTTAAGTGTCCAGGTGAAAATGAAAAAAGCTCACTGAATAGCCGCCTCCTGACCGCCGCCTTCTCCGCCCGCATTGCAAAGGGGTGTGTTACAGCAGCAAAGCGAGATCGGAATGTTTTGGAAAGTGGTTCCAATGCACTTGTTTTGAGCAAACTGCAACAATTGTCTAGTCTCTCAGAAAAGTGTGGGCTCTTCAGAAAGAGGCATCCGATTTCCGTGACTCACCATGCACCTCCACATGCTGCATCCGGCCTTCGTCACCTCGATGAGAGCGGCCGCCGACGCCGTCATATTGTAGCAATAGGCGCCCGAGTTGTCGCAATTGATCGTCGCCGTGCCGACAGAAGTGCCTTTGATGAATTTGAGACCCTTCAATTGGGGAATTTGATCGGATATTTGAAAAGGGTTCGCGGAATGTACCGTATGACATTGAATGGCTTCCGTTGCGGAGAAGAAGAGGGCGAGCGAAAGGACGGCGAACGAGGAAATCATCTGAAATTGAATGGAAATGCGAATTCAGAAGTCGAGAAGAGTGAAGGCGGAAGCGAAAGATCGGGAGAAGAAGAAGAAGAAGAAAACACACAGTGCTGACCTTGTTCTTTCTTCTTTCTCTCTCTCTCTCTCTTTCTCCCACTCGACTGAATTGAATGAATCGGTCAGTTTATCAATGCGTACGTGGGGACGTCCCCGAAATTTGATGCCAAAGTTTATTTGATAGACGGGCGAATGTAAACGTTTTCCGAAATTTGACACTTTGAAGTTGGCATACTGTACTTTGGGCTGTGAAATGGAAAGATCGAGCTGTCTGAAACGCAAGAATGTTCCCAGCAGAGTTGCGCGGAAGAACTCAACGGAAGAACACGGAAGAATTTTTATCTTTTTTAGAACATTTTTTCATGGAATGTGATCAACTGACGAAATGTATAGCAAAGTGAACTCTGCTCATAAAAAAATCATTGTAAATTTAACTTTTCATACAAAAAAGTTATGCGAGTTGTTCCATGAAAAAAGGAGGGCTAACGGAAGACGGAAGGACATTTTCACGGAACAACTCGAATAACTTTTTTGTATGAAAAGCTAAATTTACAATTATTTTTCTATGAGCACAGTTCACTTTGCTATACATTTCGTCAGTTGATCACATTCCATGAAAAAATTTTCTAAAAAAGATAAAAATTCTTCCGTGTTCTACCGTTGAGTTCTTCCGCACAACTCTGGTTCCCAGTTATTTCGGAACATTTCGGAACATTTCCATTTACGACTGAAAAACTCGTTTCGGCTAAATTATGTGGCCTTGAATGCAGTTTTTCTTCCATTTTACGGCCGAGCGTAAAAAGGCCTCAACCAGTTGTTCAGACGTAAATGGAAACATTTTGAAATTCAGTTTTCTTTTGTCAAACTAACAACTAGGGTATTCTTGATTTTTCAGAGAAGACACCTTGAAAACAGCTTGACATGTTTATACAAACACCGATGAATGAGAGTGGAGACCGTAGTCAATAAATTAGGAAATCACTGGAATATCGACTTGATCCTCTGCCACAAAGAGCCGTCGACGGGCGTCGCGGGCGTCGTCGTCGTCGTCGTCGTCGTGGGCGCGGAGCACGAAGAGCAGCAGAACGTGGCCATCACTTTGCAGTTGAGCATTTCGCGCGATTTGAGCATCGGGCAGATGCCGAGCCGATCGGTGCAGTCGGAGTCGCCGAATTGGACGGGCGCGTTCGTGACGACCGGATTGCGCAGGTCAATGTTATCCTTCTGGACGAGCTGATCAAAGTCCTGGTTCATGCACCGCGCGCAGTGGTAGATGGCGCACACTTTCTTGTAGTCGTTGCTCGACGCGTCACGTGGATGGCCAATCACTTTCTGGAAATGGGTCAGAAGAGTTGGTTGTGAGCACAAAAGAGACTCACCTGAAACTGCGAGTCTCTGGTCATCATGCTTATCTTTCCCGGCTTCGCGAACGCCGTCTCGTCGTAGTGCATCACCGATTTGTAGTCGTACGGCACGTTGTAAGTCGTCGCGTCTCTCGTCGATAACTTCTCAAACTGCGGGTACTGCGCCGGCTCGATGTTCTTGTACATGACGTTGATAAACGCGTCGCGGTCGGCTCGCATGTGCTCGTGCCACAATCCGATCACGTGGAACAACTCGTGGATTACCGTGTCCTCTTGGATGCACCTGAACTAGTTTCTTTTTCTTTCCGACTGAATTCTCAGGGTGACGTGGCAAAAATGCGCCTACGATTGGTCGTCGTTGCTCTCCAACATCACCACGTTCTTGCCCGGGAATCGACCGATGCTTGCGTAGCATCTGAACAAACGGTTGAACAGAAGGAAAACGGAACGAAGACGTCGAACGAACCCTTGACCTTTTTTGTTGAGAATTTCCGCGTAGTCGGGCTGAGTGGTACGGGGAATCAGGCGGATGCACGAGTTATTCGCAATCTTCTCCATCGCACTTTTGATGATCTTCTGCTCGAGAGTGTCTGAAAAAGGACGATCGGATTTGCGGAAAAGTCGAGATCAGTCGAGACCGTAAGTTCCCGAAATGACGAACGGAATCAGATAATTTCCATTTTCATCTTGCATTTTGCTCCATTTTAACGGCGAATTCGAGAGGAGAGCATTTCGCATTTGAGGCCTTCTGAACTTGAAAGTCTTCAGCTAATGCGCTCTATCGCACCGCACTCACCGTTGCCGAATGGGTGAATGGTAGACCTGCTGCGCTCCGTTTCGCCGTAATTGCACAATATCACTGTGTCCATTCTCAGCGCCATAAATGTTGATCCGTCGACCCTGAACATCGTTAGCCGTCTATCCGAACGCCGTCAAACTCACTCACCCGCCCGTGTACCAGTGCAATCTTGAAAACCGTCCAAAAAATGATGCCCAATAATAGTTGTTTGATGCCCATTTCCGCCTGAAATTCGACATGAATGACAAAGAGGGACGACGAGATGCGGGGCCAATCGAATGACGACAGCTGTTCAGACACACACAATCGGCTCGTTCTCACCGAATATCGACACGACAGGCAGGAAGTGATGGAGGCTGAGATTCAGGCGAAACGAATGGACAACAAAGGAGCAGTTGGAGCTGAACTTTGAGTCAGATCGAGGAGACGTCACATTCAGTACCATTTCATGAAAGTCGCTCTTTTTTTTGCGTGTATACTATTGTCGAATGACTCACTCGGCGCACTATTTTTCAAAACGATTTTAGAACGGCGCAGAATAGAACTCAATTTCCTGGTTTTTTTGCGCTTAAAATTGTTCTAATAGAGTTATATTTCGCAACAGCTTTTTTTCGTTCAAGTTCTATCTGACTGTAGCGCCTTCTAGAACACTCACACACTTTCAGCACTTTACAGACCTTTGAGACTGAGAAAAAAAGATAACGAATTTCTAAACAATGCGACAGACTCTAGCGACCACTTTGAGAATTTCGGTAAAATACATAAAATGATACAGGGAGCAAAAAAAAATAATGTATTTCACACTCAAAAATGATCAGAACGCTGTAAATGAAGGAAAAAAGGCAAACGTTGGGAGATGCTTTATAGTGGAAAAGTTCAACAAAAAAGTTTTGGCAACGACGAGGTGCGGCGGCGGCGGAGAGTTCTGGAAGCGCCGCAAATAGTCGCCCTGCCAATTTATACTCTGAATTGCCGCGAATACTTTCGATGGTGGGAGCGGCGGCGCCGTGCCGATGCTTCCAAGTTTGCACAGTTGGGATCGTTTTCTCTTTCTCTCGGCTGTGTCATTTCCATTCACAGACTCTTGTTTGCCCCACAATAATCACACTTTTGATGGGTGCCATGAACTTGGATGTGTGTCTGTGTGTTTTTCCGGAGGCCTTCCGTTCTTCTTCTGACTCACTTCACCGATCTGCGAGCGACTCGGGGAGGGTCCCTCAACGTTGTAAACCAGATGAGATCTCCCGGGTGGCAACCAACTGCCGGCGACGACGACGCAGACTATCAGACGGAAAACGAACGAACTTTTTGTTTTCCTCCGTCCCGCCGTTTGCTACCCAGTGCAGTTCTTCTAAAAAAAGTAGACTTCCCATGCCGGGAATCGAACCCGGGCCGCGTGGGTGAAAACCACGAATCCTAACCACTAGACCACATGGGAGCGGGGAACGGCAAGGAGTCGCATGCCGTTCTGTGCGCGCTCTTTGCAGTCGTTAAGCCTGAAAGTCTACTAGATACACATGCATTCATCAACGCAATTTGATATGATCGATAACGAGGTGTTATCTATCCGTCCGTCGTGTGCCCCACTTGTTATTGATCATCGATTTGTGTTCGATACAGAGTAGTCAGTCATTAGTACTCTCCTGATCACCGATCTCTGAAATGTACACTTAGCAATCGGGGTGGTGGTGTACAGGTTTCTTCCCAAAAAAAAATCAGGTGACTTTTCCGCCGTCTCGTGCTTTATTTCATCTCACTTTTCTATTTTTTAATTGAATTTCACAAATTCTCCAAACAGTTTTTTAAAATGAAAATCGCGATGCGTTCACGTGACGCGGACAACAAAATCCGGATGAAATTCTCGATTTTCTCTATTTTCAATGTCAATTTTCGAATCGGATCTTTTGTGTTTTGATTTTCATTTTTGTTTAATAGTTTGATTGAGAAAAAAGATATAAAAGCGCCAAGGTTTTCCGTCGCTCTACTTATTCGCTCTAATACCGCAACGCAGAATTTGTGCGGATTTTCAAATACTCTTAGGTGAATTCGCACACTTTTTGGTTAAAAAAAAAACAAAAAATGTGGCTGATGGGCTTAACCGAAATTCACTTAGAGCGAATAAGCTCCATTTTTAAAGTGTCGAGAAAACGTGTCGCATTCGCATCGGTTCGCTTCTTTTCTCTTCTCCTCCAGCACACAGTCTCTCCAGTCATTTGTCGCGATCTCTGCAAGACACCCGGCCACCGTTATCAGTGTATTTCCTTCTTCTTCTTCTTCTTCTTCTTCTTCTTCTTCTTCCCGTCTCCACATGTTTGTCGCCCCTTCGCCTCCGCCATTCTCGCCTCGATTCGTTATCAAACGCACATCACTGTGTCGCTTTTTCCCATTTGGCGCGAAAGAGGAGTGCTTCTCTTTCATCTTCTCCCTCTCATTCTTGTCGCCATTTCTTTCGTTTTCAGACCAATTTCCGAAATGGGCGAAGAGACGTGTTATATTTGCAACGATAAATCCACCGGCAAACACTATGGAGCGATCAGTTGTGACGGATGCAAAGGATTTTTCAGACGGAGCATTCGCAAGAGGTATCACTATGTGTGCAGATTTGAAAAGGATTGCGACGTCACAAGAAGTACGTTTGCCTCTTTCCCTCTCTATTTTCCAGAATATTTACAAGAACTTGCTATACTTTTCAGACAAACGGAATGCGTGCAGAGCGTGTCGACTTCAGAAGTGCGTCAAGGCGGGAATGAAGAGCAATGCGATTCAGAACGAGCGCGATGCGATTGGAAAGAGAAAAAAACCGAACGAAGCGGAGAAAGAGGACCTTATTGATCAGCTAGTCGGTGCAGAACAGATGTGTCAGCAGTTGAGGTCCAGTGTCATCAAGAACACTTCATTGGTGAGTGCGTGGCGGCGACCATGGAACCCTTCGAGTTTGTGGCTCTGTCCGAATTCTCTCCTATTGCCACATACACTGTCTGAATCCGAATAATTCTAAAAAATTAGCACACATATTATAGGGACACCGCACAGAAATGGCGCTCTGTTGAGAAACTCTTTTTGCAGTGCAAATTGAGCGACCGCGGGGCCGAGTTTGAAAAGTTAGGCCACATTTTCAGTGAAAAATTACTGCGCGGCCTTGAAATTCGGTCAAATTGCGAACAGCGCGCCCTTTCTGTCCGGTGCCCCTACAATACATAAGAGACATTTCAGACAGACCCACGAACTTGGAGGGATGGAGGGTTCCCTGGTCTTTTAAATTAAAAAAACCGTGCCCCCCCCAGCAAGCCATTTCGATTCGATTCTAGTTCGATCCTCTTGTTTTCCAGGCAACGTACGATTGCGGAAAAGTGAAATGGAATTACGAGGACGCGCGAGCAGCGACTCTCGACGACATTGGCAAGTCGATTCACCAGCAACTCGTGCTCTTCATCGAATGGGCCAAATCGCTGACGCAGTTTCTGATGCTCGCGCCAGTCGATCAGGCGGCTCTGCTGAAGGGCGGCGCCGCGTCGATCATTGTGCTCGGAGTCTCGTACAGATCGATCCACATTCCGGGCGAGAACGAGAACAACTCGATCTACCTGGCGAATGACACGCTGCTCGGGAAGGAGCACGCGACGACCGTCGGCGATATAAAGTGAGTCTTTTTGGAGTCGCCCCCCGCGTTGCCACGTCATCATCCCTTCAGTCATTTCAGCTGTGTCGTCGGCAGAATCATCGACGAGATTGTGAATCCGATGCGAAGACTGAAGATGGAAGTGGACGAGTACGTGGCTTTGAAGGCCATCCTGTTCTTCAATCCAGTCGTCAGAGGCATTCAAAACTACGGACCCGTCGAAGAGGCGCGCTTCTCGTGCTTGAGGGCACTTCAGCGAAGGTGAGTGCGCTGGAGCGAGATTGCATTCACGTGAGAACTCGTTCAGGTGCACCGACAAAGCACTGGAGAACATGGAGGACGAGGCGGCGGACTGCAGAAGCGGCAAGCTCCTGCTCCTCCTGCCATCGCTTCAAGTGATCGCACAACAGCTGGTGGAAGACGTGCAACTCGCCCGTCTCTTCGGACTCGTCAACGTGGATTCGCTGATGGAAGAGCTCATTCTGAACGACCTGAAACCCTCGGATCCGCAGATTCTCCAGACGAGTCTCTCCTCGCCGGTCGACTCGATCAAAGCAGAATTGTTAGACGTCGAAGATTGATGTCTCTTCTCTTCTCTTCTCTGTTTAGTGACCATCATAATCTGCTCTTGCCCCACCCCACGCACACCTTTTTTGCTGCTCAATTTCGTATTTGCTCTAGACTTCGGGTCCACGTGGACACAGAGACAGTTCTTCTCGCAATTCACCCACCTCACCTCCCCCCCCCCAAATTTTTGACATTTCATTGTTTTTGTGAATGACATTTCGCCTCGGACTATCAAATTGATAAAGAAAGATGTTCAAATGGGTCGAGCATCGATACCAGAGATGTTGGGAATTCCGTGTTCCGTGTTCCGTGCTCCGCGTTTTTTTCAATATTTTTTCCGTGTTCCGTGTTCCGTAAAAAAAAAAATTTCCGTGTTCCGTAGAAATAAGTTTTTTTCCGTTTTCCGTGTTCCGTGTTCCGTATAAACTATATTTTCCGCGGAAAAATTCGATCACAAATTTATCTCCGGAAAGATTAGGACAATTGACGTTTTGTGGTCAAAATTTGAAAATTTTCGGATTCGGACCATATGTCGTGGTCCGTAACCCCCGTTGATCTCAAAGGGTATCCTTCGCACGGTTTAAAAGCAGGTGGTTCAGATAAATGCTTTATTAGGTGGTATTGAAATAGCAATATAAGAAGATTGGTTTTGGGAAGTGGGGAAGTCGCAGTAGCAGTAGTCTGAGGATGTTGGGGAAAGATGCAAGTGCCTAAGCGTATCCTCCAAAGATCCAGGCATGAGACTTTCCCATCCGGGAACGGTCCCATCCAACCATTCTTTGAGAGGAATGGTGACCGGACGAGGCTCTGGAGAGTAATACGGCTCACCATCAGATCATCAGAGGATGTTGGGGAAAGATGCAAGTACCTTCTAGGAGTTAGACAGGACCTTTATATTGGTCCCAAGGTAATTATCAAGAACTAGATTTTAATGACATGTAATTGACAGGGGCACAGTTTGTGCACTTAAAAGTCAGAAATGTCCTTGGTCCTCATTGTTGCGGAAAGACATAATAACTTCAAATTGAGTTATAATGACTTTGGAGTAAGACTGGTTGTTGAGTGGATCATTACACTGCCACATGATCCTTGACGAACATACAATTATGTTTCTTCATATTGTACTTTGATCTTGACAAGTCGAGACGAGTCACGACACCGTGGATTCCATTTTCAGTCGTTTTTTACTGTAGTTGTTTACTGTTGTGTTGTTGGTTTTGTTATTTTTTTATGAAATTTTCAGTAAAACTTTCACATGAGTCAAACAGCTGCCTTGTCAGTCAGATAATCGAATTAAACAAAAACATTATTTAAAAATCACTGGAATTCTCTTGAAAACGCTTTTTTTCCGTGTTCCGTAGCAACTGGGAATTTACGTAAAAGCGTAATGCGGAATAGAACACAATTTTAGGTTCATTAAGAATGTATGTACATGGAAAAATGAAGTATGAAAAAAGCGGGACCCGGACGTTTTGAAATCCATGTGAACTTTGACAGTACACTTCCATCGCTAAGTAGTCTCACGTTACTATTAGTTGCAAAACGTCGGCGTCCCAAAGAAACAATAAATTCAACAAAAAAAAAGAATTTGTCAGACAATGGCCGCCGAGTTCATGCGACTGCTCGTCGGCCGAAGGAATTGTGGAGCGGGAGTCAGAAAAGACGGCTCTTGGTTGAGGTCTTCTCGACTCATCAAAGGGACCAGCACAGACGTTTTCCGTCGGAGACCTGAAATAATCACTTTTATGGGGTTATTCAGGCTGTGAAAAAAATGATTTTTTCCGTTTTTTTTTCGTTTTTTTACGTCAAAAAACCCAATTCAGCGGTGTAAAAAAATGAAAAAAAACGGAAAACAAACATACGCTGAATAGCCCCATTAGTGTATCATCACTTCACCGCTCCTGCCCGCTGAGAAAAGCCCGCGAAGTTCAAATGAGGCCCCGCCCCTTCAGCGTTCAATTCTTGCAAGTAGCGCGCGCAGTTTTCGCAACGCTGCCGCACGCATTTTGCTCTACAGTTCGACAGTGAAAAAAACAAGTGGAAAAAAATTCGTTGTCGGTTTTTAGTGTTTTTTTTCCTGAAAAGAAAATGCAACAAGGCGACGGAATAGGTTTTGATAACAAAAAAATAATTTTCTGCTTTAATTTTCAAGAATTCTGTGTTCAGAGCAATGCGTGCGGCACCGTTGCGAAAACTGCGCGCGCTACTTGCAAGAATTGAACGCTGAAGGGGCGGGGCCCCATTTGAACTTCGCGGGCTTTTCTCAGGGGGCAGGAGCGGTGAAGTGATGATAAAACGAGAAAGTTGCTCACCTTGTTCGATGGACATTCCGCCGGCCGACGGCGCTCTGTCGTCGTCGCCCAAATGGCTCTTCTCTTCCAACAACGAGGCAATGATTCCGTGGCCGGATTCCGTCAAAAACTGATCCCACATGGTATCCACAATGTCCGTGCACATGAGCACCCCCGAGTGAATCGTGATCATGTGCAGCACGAATATTCCGTCGATCTTGATGTAGTCGCGGACGAACTCATCGAGTTCCATCTTGTACCGTCCTCTTTCGAAGTGAACATCTGCCATTTCAAGACGGCGAGCCACAAATTGACGGCGTTTATCGAACGGAATCGAGGAGAAGATCCAGTAGAGAATGGAGCCGAACGAGAAAAACGAGAGGACCGTGTACCAGAGCCACAGCATGAAGAAGATCTTTTCGGTGAATATGTTGATGACCAGCACGCACTGGACCGTGTGTCTCTGCACGTGACCCAGTATTCGGATCTGCATGTCACAGTAGGTCACGACCGGAAAGTTTGACGACTCTTTCCAACCTCGCCCGAACACAAGGTCGTACAGGAAACCGTATCCGTAGTAGCGATGCGAGTCGAGCTCCAGGAATCGGCTCATAAGATACATCTGAACGGAACATTTCAAAGGTCTCGGCAATTCGCTGCAAAGTTTGAGCAAATAAAGAGAAAAATACGCCAATGGCGTTGAAAATGTCGGTGTGCGCGGCCCCTTCTAATGGTGAAATTAGTGCTTTTGCGGGCTGAAATCCAAAACATAACTGACTGTAACTTTTTTCGGACAACAGCTAAATGAAAATATTTCGCATGGATCGGTCGGAAATTTTATGCTGAATCCGATGGTGTAAAAATTGACCGCATGTACGGTACTTCTGACCCTCAAATCCCCACGAAAACTAAAATTTTGACCGAACAAGCTCCATTCAAATGAACACAAAAATGCTCCCAGGGAGTCTAGGGCTCTGAAAATTTATATTTGGGTTCTCAAGGAGTTTATCTAGCGATTCCGAAAATAAAAAAGTATAGTCATTGCTGAACATTTTTCACAATTTTTTGTTTCAGTTTGAGGGTCTGCAAAAAAAAAACGGACAAGAGCTATTCCGATTCTGACTTCAAAAACGGATTCCCATCATCACTTGAACTGTAAAATATTTGAAAATTAGCCGCGTGTAGCCATAAATGTGGCCACACGGGCTCTCAGACTGACTTTCATTTTCGTTTTCGCGTTTTTTTTCGAGAGAACAGTAAGTTTTCATGAGAAACTGACAATGAAAGTACCCGATCTGCCGAGCGGGGTTTGACTCGGACCAGGGGGGATTGAAAGGTCCCATGAAGGATAAAAATAGCCCCGGGGGGTTCATCTTCATTTTTCGCTTTTAGCCGAGAAAAGTGCAAAAATGGGACTCGTTTTCAAAAAATCGTATCTCTGTCAAATTCAAATTCAAAGATCCACTTTTCACTAAAGGGAAAGTTAGTCAGAAAACAAACTTTTGCCAGACAGAACGTAAAAAATATGTATGTCTCCAACTTTGTAGTTGACCATTTTCTGATGTCTCCTCTTGTAATGGGGCTATTCAGCGTATGTTTGTTTTCCGTTTTTTTCTTTTTTTTTATATCGCTGAATTGGATTTTTTGACGTAAAAAAACGAAAAAAAACGGAAAACAATCATTTTTTTCACATCCTAAATAACCCCATAAAGGAGTTATGACTTCACGATCTAGTAGAGTTGTGAAGAATCACTGAAAAAGTAAACTCTCGATAACTTTTTCCCGTCTAAACAATTTCGCACAGATGGATTTTTGCATACGGCCCTTATTTTGGGCGCTGAATCTAATGGTGATGGTTCTGTCCGTGGGTTAAGTCAAAATGTTGTACATCAGTTCAAAATTTTGTTTATTTTCTTGAATATCCTTTTTGATAATTTTTTTCGTGTAAAGTTTATAACTGATTTCTTAAAGTTCGTCATATTTTCTACATTTTTGTTTTTTTACCGATTTTTCGAAACCAAGTCCCAGTTTTGCACTTTTTCGACAATATCTCGGCTAAAACGAAAAATGGAGATGAACAAAAAAATTCGTAAGGCCACGCCCCCAAATAAAGTTTGCCTGAAAGAACAAAAAAGGTTGCGCAAGTTACATTTAAAAGTTGGTTATGATGTGCTAGCTTAAACTTTGCTAAGAAATGCCGAGGTACCAATAGTGTAAGATATTACCTGTAATAGAACGTTCATGAGGAACATACACTTTATGCCCAAGTACATGTAGGTCAGGTAGGATTCGTAGTAGCGAATGTTTAGAAACCTAAAGACTCTGAAAGGGAACACATTAATTGATTGATACAAAGTAGCCCTAAATAGATCTATTTCTTTACTTATGATGATACGGATGCTTCTCTCCCAATCTGAATCTATGCTTGAACACCGACGACAAGTGCGCCGCGAGTCCTCTGATATTCGCTGTCCTCGTAGTCGGCACCACGTTTGCTTTGTCGTTTGCGAAACTCATGATATCTCGCAACCGAATACCGGATTTGTCGTTGAAAAGTCTCCAGAGCAGGCAGGGAGCGTAGAAGCTCAGCGCCACGTAGACCAGGAAAAACGGTACCCATTGATAGTAAGAGACCTAGTGGAAAAACAACGGTTTAGTTTAGAGAAAACGGTGAGTGTATTTGCCATTGTGTAATCTCTGTTAACCACTTCTGGAAGGTTGTCGTCTTCGAAAGCAGTCACGTACGTATTTCGAGCCCAGCAGTACATTTCTAAAAGGATGTTTGATTTATTCTATGAATATGTGTGTACCTGTATAGTCCTCCCAACTACTTTTGTATTCTGCCGGTAGCCAGCATTCTATCGGTCGTCCTCCGAACATTTTCAATGAAATCAATACCTGAAAAATGGCATTTTGAGTTCATTTTAATATTGTTAGTTAATACTCAAACCCTTTTCACTTACAGCAGTCAACAATAGAAATGTGGTTGTATAGTAATAGTGTAACCTGTCAAAAATGTCGTCGTCTGCTTGTGGTTGGAGGAACGAAAGGGTACCCACAATCTCTGCGAAGACCATTCTGAAAGAGAACAAAAAACAGTGTACATGAAATTCAATTTTGCGAAAGGTTACTGTAGAGTACCTGGGAACACGAGAGGCGGTGGCTACTTTTGAGCCGCCTGCTTTACTACTGGCCGAGTTTTGCGGTAAAGTCTGCGAGTCCATCACGGACAGACAAGGGGGATATATCCTTTTATGCCGTCATAATAAACGGGAGGGACGACAGAAGCGAACGGATGTATTGGATTTCAAAGGAGTACAGTCAACAGGTCTAGCTGGGTGGTTGCTCGAATCGAAGCGATGCTTGCAATGTTTGAGTGAAAGAGGGGCAAATGGCAGCCACGAGAAGTGGCGGATTTCCCACGAAGAGTCCGTTTTTTGTACACGTATTGTGGATTTTGACGTACGCTCAGATTTGATCTGTCGCACGTTTCTTTGATCGCAAACTTTTTTCACTTTCAAAGATCGCCGAGCACAAAAAAGTTGCATAGCTTAACAATAGTCAATGAAAAAAGGCGGTGCTCTAGAACTCTAGCGCATATCAGCGCCTTTAAGAGAGAGACTGAAGTACAAAATCGTCAATAACTTCAGACATTTTCAGACTATGACATGCATCATGAGTATGCACAGAATATAATCTAGACCGTGATACGATGAACCAACAAAGCATTCATATTATAGAGGCACATCACAAAAATGACGCTCTATTGAGAAACTCTTTTTTCGACCTCAGGGGCCGAGTTTGAAAAGTTAAGCCACATTTTCAGTGAAAAATTACTGCGCGGCCTAGAAATTCGGTTATGAACTGTTTTCCTAGAGCGACAAGAAAAAAGTTAGTGCTGGGGTCAGATCGACGATAACTCGAAAAATAATTTTTTTTTTAAATAAACGATCAACTACAAAGTTATTCACGAGATAATTTGCGTTAACTTACTAGTTGACCACTTTTGCAACGGCGGCGTGGTTCTTGAGATACAGGTCGCCGAAGATGAACTTGCTAGAAAATGCGGCAGAAATAGGCAGATTTTCTCGCCAGCCCGTGCTCTTTAGCAAAAATGGAGAGCAGATTCGGATTCTCCGTGAAATTCTCTTTCGAATCATATAGGTCCCATTCCAAAAGCCCAAGGTAAGTGCGGGCCATTCCCTAGTCAGCTATTCGAGTAAGTAGTTATTTTAAAAAGCGAAAATTTTTGATTTAAAAAGGAGGATGCAAAGCTTAAGGCAGTTTCCGACAAAAAAGGTAAAACGAAAAAGTGATGATATTCTTCCAAAACTGGCTCTCCAGCCCGCGCAGTATTCTATTTAAGTGTGAATCACAGTGTTGAGCCGAAATGCTCACACGAGAAATGTTTGGGCGGGGGACAGTTCGTGAAGGCTTCAAGTGCCACATGGGAAACGGTCGAAATCTTCAATCAATCTCGTCATTTCCCACAATACTACAGGTGCACAAATACGGCAATCGAGTCGTATCTTTTTTGTGCTCATTTCATTTTCGCTCAGTTTTCTGGATGCTAGTTTCACTTACGGGCGGTGGCCTGACGGTGGCGGTGGACGTGGCATCCGGTTTTTGAAATGTTCTGAAACCGCAGTTCTGTTCAACCACAACTTACTCTAGTGTTGATTTTTGAAAGAGTTTATATGCACTAAAAAGGGTATATTCTATTCGCAAACAAATGCATAAAACGGACGAGCGAGAGGACTGGAAGAGGAGTCGGCGGAGGACAAAGATTAGCTGCAAAAAAAAATAATAAAAAACAGTAGGAGATGAATCACAATAACGCGAGGAGCCAGCCCGGATAGCGAAGGAATTAAAGGAGAACCTGATATGAGTAAGAGATGGCCTAGACGGTCTTGAAGAAACTAACCAAGAGGGCGGGGGTGCTGTGGGTTATGTACAAAACTTTGGAAGCTGGGCTCACTTTCTATGGATAACTGCGAAATTTTTAACTGGACACAGAAACGATGTAAGGAGAAGATCACAGAAAAGGAATAGAACAGGAGATTGACGAGGAGTGAGAAAATGTGACGAAATGCTCTTAGTTGGTCGGCGGCTTCTGATCAAAAACCGAATTGCCGTTGAGCAAGGATTCTGGCTTCTGGAGGGGGTGAATGGCCAGCGGGGCGGCGAGGGTGGCCGAGAGCATTCCGGTCGGCGTGATTCCGGAGACGACGGAAGAGACGCTGCCAACGGATCCAGCGGCAGTCAGTGGAGAGACCTGGAAGGGATCCGTGCACAGCTAATCGTCAAAACTGACAAAACTCACTCCATTCGTCGGCAGAGTAGTCGGCGACGACAGATGCTGCTGAAGTGAGACTGGCGCCGTCGAATGATCGTTGATGTCGTCCAGAATGAACTCCGAAAGGAGAGAATCCACCTGAAACTTTCCATTCATGCTAACCCGATCTTCTTTCGATTCAACTAGTTACCTCCGCCAATCCGAAGAACTTTGTCAGCGTCATATTCTCGATCAGCAGCTGAGTGAGCGCCTTGAGCGCAGGGGCCAACAGTAAAATGTTACCGTACCGCGTGGGCGCCTCGTCGGGCATCTGATCAAGGATGAATGCGTAAAGGGACTTGAGCACTCGATTCCTGGCCTCTCGGATCTTCATCTGCGACTGATTCGAGAGTCCCTTGGCTTCTGGATGCAGGAAAGCGAGGGCTTTGAGGCACACAAACTCCTGTTCTCTCATTTGCAGTTGTCGCATTGGCCAGACGATTTCATCCAACACTCGGGGCGTGATATTGCTCGTTTTGAAGGCAGCAAATCCGTTGAGATCCGTGCTATTGTCCCTGGTCATGTAGGTATTGTTGAAGAGGCAAACACGAGTAGTGTCGGGACTCCGGAACGCCGGCATCAGAATCAAGTGTTGTGGGGCGTAGTTCTTGAGCAAAATGATCTTGTCCTCCATCGTCAGCTCCATGAACGGCTCGATCGTCTTCGCCCACTCGACCATCAGCAGCAGGGTCGTCCTCGATATCTCGTTCAGATCCTGAAAGCATTCAACTGTGGATTTTACCAAAAGCCTCTCCACGCCACCACTACCTCGGTTGTGCACGGTCGATTGGCGGGCGGCGCAAACGCCGAATTGCCGCTCGAGTCTATCGTCGCTGACAGTCCGCCTTGGAGGCCGCCGTCCGCTTCGGCGCTACCCGCGTTCCCGTTCATGTTGAATATCTGAGAGCGTCGGTACCGATTGCACATCTCCTGATTGACACGCGACTCCATTTCCATCAAAGCGTCGATTACACTGCTCGTCGGCGCCGCCGCACTACGCATATTCTCTTGTCCGCCGCCGTTCGATCCAACGCTTCCCACGTTGCCGTTGTTGCCGTTCTCGTAGCTCGGACTGCTCCGATCTTTTTTAAACGAATTACCGTTGACGCTGGCTCCAGAAGTCGGCGATCCGACTGGGTCACGCTCGAATTGAATGGCTGGAAGGAGACGAGATTGGGAGGGAATGGAACGACTAAAGCCGCAAGAGACAAAGAATAAGAAGAAGAAGATCGTAACTTTTTTATTTTTTCCGTCGAGCCTCTATCTCGAATTGACATCTAGCGCGAATGAGGTCGCTAGCATCTTTTTACGGGAGAAATAGAAGAAGACGCTTACCTTCTCGTTTCATTCCCACTTGCACACACTTCTGGAAGCGGCAGTAGCGGCACGCGCATCTGAAGTTCTTGTCGATCACGCATCGTTTGTTGAAGCGGCACGTGAATTTCTGATCGCGGAGTACGGTTCGGCGGAAGAATCCCTGGAAAATGAATATAGAACTGCTTGAAAATCTGTTTTAACCTATTCAATGATTACATTGGAACACAAATGGGAAATTGATTCATTTTCATGGCTAAGTTTGTGCGAAAACGCGAAATTTTGCTCCAAAATGCCGATCGAAATGTCGATCGAAATGTTACACACGGAGACCGTGGAATGGATAATATCAATTCCAACAAGTGAGTAAAAGTCTTACTTTGCATCCGTTGCACGAGATGACTCCGTAATGTGTCCCGGTTGATTTGTCACCGCATACGGCGCACGGCTCCGCAAGCGGGTCGACTAGGTCCATGACTGAAACTGCACAATATTGCAATTGTTGCTATTGAAAAATGCGCAAAATGATGTTGGAGTTGGCCAGCATTATATGAATGCAGCAAAAACAACAATTTTAGAAGGCGAGAGGAGACACGCGGGAGTGAGAAGAGGAGAATAGAGGTGCGTCACTTGTTCATTGCGACGAGAGACATCGGAGGGCGAGAGAGAGAGAAGTCAGACGTTGCACTTTCAGACACACACACACACACACACACACACATGACACATGGCTTAACGAGATCACTAATCAGGCGGGCGAATGCGACTAATGATAAGGTTGGTCGGGAAAGCGAGCGGCGGCGGCGGATGTCGGCGGAGCAGCTGAACTGGCAGATTGAGCAGACGGTGACCAATGGTGACGTCATCTTGTTTCGATGATTTCCCCGACGGACACATAGTAACGGGAGATGAACACGGGGTGGCCAAATAAATGGGACCGACAAGTACACAAGCGGTCGGCCGAATTGAGACGATTCGGGATGCAACAGAGCGGAGGAACATGTTGTTGATGTGGTGGTTATGATGGGAGAGGTGCCATGTAATCATAAACTCAACATAATTATTGGGTTCGTCTTCGGATACTAGACTCTAGTTGACCTATTTCAGAATTAAGAATGATGCATTTAACAGTCTATTTCTTGAAATACTAGAGGCTTGAGGGGTTTCTTAATAAGAATGTAAATGAAACATCATTTGAGAAAAATCTAATCCGAATGCCAATGAAACCAGATCCAGAAGCCAATGAAAACGGATATCTTGGGCATGGAAATTTTTTAAAGAACAAAACCAACCGAAGTCGTCTTCTCGCTTCATCGCGCCAAACAAGCTTTTGGAATCGAATCGATCGACGAACGATCAAATTCAGACGACGTCACAAAGTGCGCGTCTGAAGGAGTGACCGACGAAGTACACAGCAAAAAAAGGAAAATGCGTGGAAAGAGAGAGAGAAGCGTACGATATAGTTATTTCTCTTGCAAAGGATCGATACAAAACAGGAGACGATGAGAGAAAAAGAGAGAATTGCGAAAAGGACTCGTTCGTCCACAGTAAACAACATAAGGTGAATCAAGTGGGTGTCCGGAGAGATAAAAAAAAACATAGAACTGAACTGATTCAAAAGTCTTAGTGATCTATCGATTGGTATCGGACGCGGATCGCTTAAGAGACTGGAGAGGTAGGGGAACATAATGTTTCTACAAAAGAGGCACCTCATCTCGATTCACTATCGCCGATCAGTATCCGCCAGGAGAGAATGAATGGGACGGGAGGATAGAAGAGAAATGGATTCGACATTCGGCCAAAGAAAGGAGGCCGTGAGAAACGAACTTTTGTACTTTCGTATTCCAATCATCAGATAAGGTGTAAGACCATGACACACACCTAGAAAGCCCGTTGCCATGCATAGTTGATTTTGAACTATTCGATCTAGCCAGAAACCTTTCGAAACAATCTATAGGGCTTTTCGTGATTTGCCATTCAAGAAGCTAATCGAGAATTCCGAGTGGAGCACGTTTGAAGCAGAAAGGGGAAAAGAAAGCGGCGTTTGAAGGAGACGGCCCAGTGAATTCCACTCACAGTCGTCGGTCTCGTCGTCCAATTCGGCTTGTAGCTGAAGAATATTGGGTGCGTCACGAAGTGCAATTTCGACGTCCATCTCGATGACAATCAGGAAACCGTCCGATTGAGTCGCTAGCTAACTGATTGGGTGGTGTGCGTGTTTCGCATTTCGATGGAAGAAGCGGCGAAGAATCACCCCATACGGCTACACATTGTAGTTCGATGTTCGATGACCCTCACACGTACTTTGTACTCGGAATCGACACAAACTCAAGAAGATGCGAGGAAAAGCGAAAAAGGGCTTATGAGTGACTAGGGGAAAAGTGAGGTGAGGGGTTGACACTGATTAGGATTACGTTGGAAAGGAGGAAGAAGCTGGAAGTTGGCAGGCATGTAGGAAGAGGCTGGGGAGGCAGTGGTTGGTCAAACAAGAAAGAAAGAAGAAAAGTAGAGAGGGAGAGAAGAATATGGACACGAGAGAGGCGAGACTGCCGCAATCGATAACACGCGAGACGGCAGACGGCGAGAGTGCACGAGAGTTTTCCGCGCTACACTCTACCCCTCTATACGCTTTATTGCCACGAGGCGACCACGGAGCGCTACACGTAAATAAACGTCCATTTCAGGTATAACGGTCAGGTGACAATATTACACCGGAGCACTAATGACCATTTTGCAAAAAGAGACTTTGAAATGAGCAACAATTTTTTTTTGAAAATAATAACAATTAAAGGAACAAACTGGGAACTCGTGAGCAAACAGTTAACAACATGGTTATAAACTATAAACCGGAACAATCAAGAAATAGCAAATTTACTTATTCTTCTTTAGATTTCTCTGCTTCTCGGCCGACTCGACAATCAGATCCTCCGTCGGCAGTCCTTTCCTCCGCCGCACCGCGTCCATGTACCATCTCGCATGATTCGGCGAATCGCCTTTCAGTCCGAACTCTTCGATCTCGTCGATAGTCGACGGAGTCCAGTATGGATCTTCATCGATGACTTGCCAGTGAGAGAACTGCAATTGGGCGGAAGCCATTCCCGAGGTGAACTTGCGAAGTTGATCGCAGAATGAGAACGACTCGACGACTGGCATCAGAGAGACCACTTCGAACAGGTTCGTCGCTTCGTTGATGTCTTCGGAGAGCACCTGAAAGAACACCCGATGATTCCTAAAGGTCTAGTCGCCCACCTTCGACTTTCTCTGCGACAAAACGGCGTGCACTTTTCCGAGTGCTCCGCTGGAAGTCGTGACCGTACACCTGTACATGGCGGCCACCATTCGGAGCGCCAACTTCTTTGCCGCCGCCACGCATGTCGCCTTCATCGCCGTCGTCATCTGCCCTCCGATGGCTCCGTCCTCCCCGTCGACTGTCCACTCCTCCACAATCACCGTCGTGCCGTGCATGATCTCATTGCATAACGGTCCCGTGTTACAGAACAATTCGAATCCCGACACGAGTCCTTGATCATGTGGGCGTACTCCGAGTTCGGTTGGTCGCCAGACGAGGTCACGATCGTAGTTCTGAACGTTGTTGAAGAGAATGTTGGCGCGTGCGCGTTCCGGTCCAAATGCCCAGATCCGTTCGATCATCATTTCGATGAACTCTTTCGGTTTGCGGTACCACCACGATCCCTTGAGTGTTGGAAGGTGTTCAGTGCACACTGCAGTCAACTTCTCCTGGAATTCGTCGACCTCTGACTGGTCGGCTTCTCCTCGTCGTATTGCTGAGATAAGTAGGGCGTGTTTGTCGAGCACCTCCACAACAGCATCTGCGAGCGGAACAACTCGCAGCTTGATGTGCAGAGCATCGCGAATCTTGCACTCTGTCTCTTGCTCCGCAATTTGATGAGCAGAAAGGGAGTGATCTTCGATGACGGTCTCCATGAACGGCACGATCGGCTCCGAAACATCCAGATTCACAAGTCCCAAATCGTTCAGATCCTTGATGCACTTCTGCAAATGCACTTCTCCAGCTGTCACCATCGCCAGCTCTCCGGTCTCCAATTCCATCACTTTGAGGCTAGTGTCCAAAAGAGCGAGAAGTTTGAGTTTCTCGCGCAATTCGTCCATGTCCTCCAGCTGTTGAGTGCTAATCGAGACACGAACCAGAGCTTGTCCAGTTTGAGATCCGATTTTGAAGCAAGGGTATTTTGGTGCATCGCAAAGTGTCGTGTTTTGGAGAAGGATCTGGGCGTCGATGGAACAAATCATTCCGGCGGTTACGATATCCACGGGGATGGAGTCACGGCCACGGAGGATCGAGATGCGCTCGATCTTGGTGGATGCCACCTCATTGTTCGCCTGAAATGTGAGCATGTGAGGGATGTGAGCATGAGAGGAGCATAGCCAACTGGAAGGACCATTTAGAATACTCACATGTTGCTGCAAAACGTACAACGTGTCGCCTTTCCTAAGTTTTCCGCTCAAAATGCGGCAAATCGCCCGTCTTGAAGTGAGGCTCTTGTCTTCCGTCTGCAACAGTTTCACCACAAAAACTATCGTCATCGCTTCCGGCGAGCATCTGAGTACAAAATACCTCAACGGATGATCCAACCGCTGACCCGTCAGATGATCCAGACGGTGTTTTGTTTCAAAAGTCGATCTAACGTTCGGAGCACGCGCCACTGCCCTGAAGCTCGCCCTCGGAAGCGGAAGCCAGGCACGCATGAGCTCATCGAAAGCCTCGTTGGCCCTCCTGGATCTTAAAGTGAATCCGAGTTTCCTTCCCGCTTCTGCCAATTTTGCCACGTCATTCTCTACCAGTCCCAGGTCATGGAGTTTCCAAAGTGGCTCCAGAACGATTCGTTCGAACAGCGTCGCCTTGTTTTTGGCGGCAGCTCCTTCTCGGATGTCTCCGGTTGAGCTGAGCCAAAAGTCTCCGAACATGAACGGAATGATCGTCGCCTTCTCTACTTTCAACTTCTCCGCCGCCAATTGTGCAAAGTCTTCACATCCGAATGCGTACGAATGGAGGGCCGACGAGAAGATTACATTTCCATTGACCGGGTTGAAATGGAGCTTCGCCTCTGTTTTCTCGATGTTTCCCCACGTGTCGTCTTCGACCACGATGCCTCCGAGCACCTGACTGATGCAACTGTTGACTCTTTCGATGAGCCGTGCCATGTGCTGATACGCTTCCGCCGCCGACATTTTCAGTTCGACACGCAGTCTGTCGATCTTGTTGATCACCAGAATCATAGCCTGTCCGTTGCGAATGACCTGTCGAATGAGCGCTTCCGTCTGCGAGCAGATTCCTTCAATGACGTCAATCAGGAGGAGAGCGATGTCGGAGAGAATCAGCGCCGACGTCACTTCTCCGGAGAAGTCCACGTGTCCGGGCGAATCGATGAGGTTGATGAGCAGCGGCTCGCAGAGCAGAGAGATTCCACTCGATTTCATGGTGATTCCACGTGTCTGCTCGTCCTCTCGACTGTCCATATAGCGGAGTTTTCCGGCCATTCGGCCTAAAAAAGAGACTGAACACGGCAGGAAGAAGCCTAAGAGACTCACTAGAAATAACTGCGTTGGCTGAGACGAGTGAGTCCGCAAAGCTCGTCTTCCCGTGATCCACGTGAGCCACCAGGCACACATTCCTGATCTGCTCTGCCGGTTTCGTGCCTGCCGCCTGTTTTAACGCCGTTTCGAGACTTTCCATCTGAAACAAATAGCTGAAATATTTCGAAACTCTTCGAACGCAAAGTAGTTGAGAAAGCAATAGACTCCAAAAGTCCCAAGCACAAGTTTTGTTGTCAAATTATGTATTTTTATTTAGTTTTCGTCTATTTTTTCTTCTTCGATAGTCATTTTTCTCAGCGGGTGGTGGTAATGGACATATAAAGTGTCGAGATAATCATCAGAAGTAATACAAAATAAGGGGCAGAGGCTTTTTCTGGGGAGATTGGGGCAAAATGTACAATGGGAAGCGGAGAGGAATCAAGTACCCGATGCATCAAAAGCCGTGTGTTACCGTACCAGCGTTGCCGGCACCGTAAATCGGGACGGTATGGATATTAGTTAAATTTTGACAGAGACGGGGAGAGGGGGAGGACCTGAAGTGTGTGAGAAGTTTTTCGAGATGGAGAAACGGAACCGCGAGCTGACTATTCTGTGAATTTAAAAAAAAACAGAATAACCGCTCGCGATTGGCACTTAAATCAGCTCATACGCTTATTAACAGCTTATGTATGCTTAAGAGAGGTAAGAGGGATGAGAACAGTTGGTAATAAGTGAATATGGAAGGAAAGATTATTGTCAGTCTGCGCGTGTAATACTACAACAAATCGTGAGAAATCGGCCCGTCTTTTCTAGCGTTTTTGTATACAATTAGCATTAGAGTGAGAGAGAGAGAGAGAGAGAGAGAATGAGGAGGGATGTGAGGTAGTTGGAAGGAGGCGGCGGAGGGAGCAGACAACCAAATAGTGAGACGATTGCGAAATGTTTCACCGCTTTTTGACTGTCCCTCCGCTTCCTCTGAATATTATGGGAAGAAATACACATGTCGGAAGGTTTGGGAGAGAGAGGTATTTGGTTCAATGTGTACTCGATTAGGTCATCATCAGCAAAAGTAACGGGTGCCCGCGATGTCAGTTAAAAACGAGAGGTCCAAGTGCGTATAAGAGTGGAGGATAACAAGAAGAGTGAAAGTAACATGGGAACAGAAAAAAGAGAGATAACTAAATAAAATGAGGAATAAGAACACACACAACAGCAAACTTAGGAAGAGGAGAAAAACAGGGGAAACGGGAGGTATATACATCAAAAAGTGCATCGAGAGAGAGCGAGAGAGGGTGGGAAACTAGACGGAACTCTGAAGACGATGCACTTCCACACGAATCGACACATACAAAAATGGAGGAAAAGGCGATGGGAAGCTGCGAAGCCTCCTGGGCTCCCGAGGAGAGCACGGGAAGATCACAGCTCTTGGCGTCATGCTTTCGGATGGTGGTCGATGGGATTCGTGGAGGAAGCCGCCGAGGAAGATGTGGAAGACGATGAGCATGACGTCGACGTGCTGAAATCAGAATTGTTATGGAAGAGTTGTACTTCGCTGCGCTTCTGACTAAGATGATTCATCAGATATCAGCGTCTAAAAAGCCAAAACGGGGGTTGTTATGATAATCTCGTGATTTAGATAATCACCGGAGAGCCCCGCAGGGAATCGAACCGATTCTTGTTTTCGATAATAACACGCCTAATTATATACGGAAGTTGTTGGATAGCTCACGTACCCTTCGCCGTGATGATCATCCTCATTCGACTCTTCCACCGTATTCAGAGAGCCGTTCGTCATGTGATGAGGGTGGTGATGGTGGTGGTGAAGATGGACTGGAGAGCTGCTGTGCACCAGCTTCTCCGGAGTTCCTGTTCCGTTGCTCATCATAAGCTTCTCCGGATCGATCAAGGGAACTGAAAGTTAATCAGTCAGAATATTAATCATAAATCATGAAAACCCACATCTGGTCATCTCGATCATGTCGACAGTCGCTTCCGACTGCACCAACGGCGTCTTTTCGTGATGCTCGTTCGTCGGACCGCCCTTCTTCACGAGCACGCCGTCTTCTTCCAGATGATTATGTGCATCGTCGTCATCACTGACGTCGTCGTCGAGATCATCTTCCGTTTCGTATTCGTCGTCGATCATCAGCTCTCCGCGGACTTTTCGCCGCATCCGCATCAGTTGATCTTTCAAGTCCACGAGATCAATTTTCTGAAACATCAAGGGTTTCAGTCGGTTTAGAAAGATCTTACTATTAGAGCTCACCTGATCGACTCCTTTTTCGGATATGGTTACGAGATGAGCGGCTGTTCGGATAGTGACCAAGTGCAGGTTCATCTCGTTTAACGGCTTTGTCAGTTCCTCTTTGTGTCGTTCGTCCATCAGCGTAAACGGTAGATACAACGACCAGCAGACGGTGCCCAGAGAAAGAGCGCGAGCCTCGAGGAGCCGCAAATCAACCGGCTGCGCAGCGATGCTTTCGATGAGATCGTCGAAGCGCGGGTAAATGTTGCGGATGGCCATGTTGACAGCGTCGTGGAACGGCGACGGCGAGCACGGCATCTGGACTCCCGCCATTTTCATCGTGATGCTCCGGCAGATGGTGAGCGTGGCGACTATGTGCTGCATGATTCCGCGTGCCTCGAACAGCCACGGATTCTTGTCGAGTAGCTCGCCGAGCATGTCGTTCAGCTGCTCCATCGAGTCGATCTCCTCGACCTCGTCATTGACAGGACGAGTGAATCGAACGGGTGGCGTCTCGAACGGCACCAGGATCTGGAAATGGGAGGCATGAAGAATAGATGGGAACGAATGGATGAAGAAAGATACCTTATGTTTGGGCCGTTTGTGACGTCGCTTCTGGCACGTGATGACGAGAATGAGGAGGGAGAGGATGAAGACGAAGGCTAGCACGACTAGTGCTAGGACCACTACTATGTCCATCTGAAAAAAGAGAGCGTTTGAAAAGAGGCCAAGAGCGGTTATCAGAGCTCTCAGAGCTCATCAGACTGGCTAGAAGGGAATGAGTGCCCAAATGAGTCGCTTGTTTTGTCTCTATGGCTCCGGGCGCACTCACGCTCATGTGATTGATGGCGAGTGTGTGAAAATGGAGAGTCTTTGGCGAGAGGACTTCAACTATTGTGAGCAATCAGTCATAGGCATACAAATGAAAGTCAGACGGGGCGGACGCTAATGAACGATTACAAAAAGCCAGACGAGGCCGGGACGAAAGGACATGGCAGGTGTCCGGCACCTGGTACCATCCTAAAAAGGACGGAGCTGACCCAAAAAGTGCACACATTTTTGCGATGAGAAGGAAAGAGTGCTGAGTGATGCTCGCTCGCTCGTAGTTTAGACAAGTTATTACACGGGACAGAAACGGATTGCTCTCACCTTTGCCCCTCCGCCAGTGCGACTAGTCTTCTGACTACTTTTTCGACTGAGAAAATATGCGCTACAAATGAAGAGCTGCCAAAGATCGAGAGGATTTGGAGAGATGATTGGCTCGCGTCGCGTGCTACAGAACCCCGGATGATCGCGCGGCTCAGACGTAAGCACCGACAGAGACGATTCTGGAAAGTGCATCGAAAACAGAAATAGAAGTATGACTAATCGTGTAAGCTAACGCAGGAATTGTAGTTTGAAACAATCTCTAGTTTCCTAGACGGTGATTTCCGGCCTTTCCGTTTACAATGCCCTAACTTCTTGCAGACGCTGTTCTTCCCGTACTCTTCTTCTTTTCTTTACTGTGTACGTGTTGGTTTTGCCCTTTGGCGAGCGAGTGACAAAAAACTCGTTTCTCCTCTCCCCTCATCCATCCAATCCATTGACCATCACCACCATCTCGAAATGTTTCATGGGGTCGAACTTCTTTTTCAATGGAAAAAGGCGCGGAGGGAAAAGGAGAAGACACGATTTTTATATTTTACAAACTCACCTCGTGTGTTCAACCAATTTCACCGAGTTTCGGACAATAATGGCGCATAGGCAACGACGTGTTTGTTAGGCGAGAATCTGAGAATTGGGCGCCTGATTTATAGGGTTTATTTATAAGGAGGAAGCGAGAAAAAGTAGAAGAGACACGGGGAGAGATGGATATTCCGGCGGAAAAAGATAGGGAGAGATAGCGAACGATCAGAAGAAAAGTTGGATGAGAGAGGAAGGAAATAGAACGAGAAACAAAAAGAAAGGTGGAAAAGGTTGGGGGGAAAGAGCGGAAAAGTGGAGCCTCGAAATTTTAAAGACAACGAATACTATCCGATTTACTTCTTCTCCTTCTTTTCTATTTCCCTGGTCACCTCCTACGACGACCGGACGATGAAGACGGTGTATAACAACTTCAAGGACATTTCAGGTTATCGACACCACCTCCCGGCGCGTCGCCGCAGCCGTCGACCCCCACGCACACCGGCAGGCAGGCAGAAGACGTGGGGCGGAAAAGAAGAAAACGGTAACGGTCGGTGGCAGTAGAAGGGAGGTGAAGGCAGGGAACAAGAAAAAAGATAAGGAAGAGAGAAGGAGAAAGAGAGGGACGAAGAAGGAGTGGACGGTCAAAATATAGGCGAATAGTAACTAAAAAATAAAGGAGGAAGAGAGAGAGGAGCGCCGCGTGGGGGCACAAATGCGATATATTCGGAATGGCAGGGCCGACGACTTCAGATCGGTGGCAAAAACATTCGGAGAAGAATGACAAAACAAGAAAATTAGTGTGAGATTTCAGAACGAGCGGAGCATGAGGGGGTGGGGTACTTAGCGTAATATCTGAGCCAGGAGCATTGCGAAAATGATCAGTTTGCTCCGAAGATGATGCTCAAAGTGCAACCAGAACAGCTTTGATCCTTCCGCCTTTGTTTTTGCGGATCTTGTCGGCACCTTTCGGATCAGATCGATTTTCTTTAGCGCATTTCGGAACACACACACACACACACTCGGGAGCGCATGCACGCTGCTCTTCTCATCTGTTGGGAGCAGCAACAACGGATCCTCCGGGTTAGCGAGAGCAAGTGTGATGTGTTAGTGTGTGTATGCATGTGTGCCGTAGATTCGAACAAAGCGTGGTGGGCCAAGAAGAACGAGAAAGAGCAACGATCAAGCGGACACATACAATCAGTAGGCGCTCGCTCGTATCCCATCCAATTCTCAGTTTTGGTATGAACGACAAAATGGGATTGGAGCTGGCGGCCGTTGTTGCGGATGATAGTGTGTGTGGCACAGAAGAAGGGCGAAACCGCCGGCGAGAGCCAAATGGGAAGAAGGAGAGCAGAGAGCACCAAAGATTGCAAGTAAATATGAAAAGCGGATCAAATCGCTGCGAACCTTCAATTAGGAAGGAAGGAGATCTCCCGGGGAGGTGAGGGCAGAAACCGCAAATCTAATCTGTCAAAGAAGGCGCAGAGCATCGGAGGGAGGAAAAAAGAGTGCGGGCTCCATGAGCTAATTGATAGGAGGTGGTGGGAGCGGGCGCCGGAACGAAAGCGGAGAGGAAACGCGTCACAGATGAGGAGGGAATCAAGAAACAGGTGTAAAAAGGTCGAAAGATGGGGGCGGACTGCCAGGAAGTAACTTAGGCCTTCTCAAAATGATACTACTATTACTATGGTAACTTTCCAATTTTACGTAAATCGACAAACATCAGCTGACCACCAGGTGTCCAACTGTATGACATCATGCCATTCATCCCCTTGCAAAGTGCATTCCTCTCTTCTCGTATTTTTTTCATTCAATGCCGCTACGCACTCGAAAAAAAAGGTAATGTTTTCTTTTCAACCCTTCGATCGAAGGCATTCGTCAATATTTGCGTGTCCGTTTAGAAGTTTTTTCTTGCATCAAAGGAAAAGCTTCTCGATCTCTATCTCTTCCACTTTTTTACGCCATTCTTTTACTTGTTCACATGCTGGGTGTCCGGATGACCTCTCTCTTTGCCTCCGACTCCCTTGGCGATCCATTAATCGGATGAGATGTGTGTTCTAACGACGCCACGCGCTCAGCCTACTCGCTTCCTCTTTTTCGAAACTCTACGTAAATCTGAACAACAGAGGCCGTCGGACTACCGGTGCACTTTAGCATATTACGAAACATATGTGTGTGTATGTAAGTAAAAGGGAAAGGTGCCTGTGATTGGTCACACACTCAAAAAAGGGCAACAAGGAGAGAGAGAGAGAGTGCGTAGGCATATGCTTGCATTACCTACCCAAGGGACCCGATATTTGTTTCCAAGTGGCACGGCTCTCCATTCACCATGTGATATACATTTTTTTCCTTTCAATGGGCACGGAGAGAGGCAGCTGGACACAAAGTGCAAAAGTACAGTACTTTGGGCACAAGCCAGATGTTTTCTCGACCGAGGTAGAATGGAAAGAAATGAAAGCATCGCATCTCACGAGGCGCGAAAGGCGCCAGATGTTGGTGAACGAAGAAAGACACAAAAAGGGCGGGAAAGTGACACGAAAGGGCGCGTTTTTTAATGGAGAAGGGAAGACGTCGAAATGCGGATGGAATGGCCGCACAAAAGCGGCTGGCGGACGGGCAGGACATGCAAATTTCGACAGCAGCCAGCCATTGTCATAAATATTGGAGTAAGTGGTCATTGTGGGCGCGACGAACAAGATGAAAACGACGAGGATGTGCGAAGAAGATGGACGGATGTGACAAGGGTCCGAAACACGAACTGAAAAGCACGAGTTTCAGTCGAATTTCGGGGAGATGCTCCCATGTTTACACTCCCTTTAGATCGGGGGGTGGTGCCCTCCCCTATCGAAATAAATTAGGGCAGGACGAAAGAGGAGCGGGGAGCAGAGCAGAGGAGCAGAAGCACAACGACGAAGCATCAAACTATTTACATGTGGATTAGAGAAACGAGCAGCAGTGGATGGACAAAAAGAAGACGAAGCAGAAGAAGGAAAAGGAGAAGAAGACGTCGAAATGGAATCCGTCACGAGGAGCACGGGGGAGAGCCGATTGGAGCGGAAGGGCAAAAACGTAGATGGATGTGCTCTTTGATAGTTTGCCACCCATTGGAAGGAACAAACAACGAGAGGAGGAAGGGAATGAAATGATGATCCGAAAAGTTCATAGGAATCAAACCACAAAGATGTGCACTGTGGAAAGGAGCAAATTTCACTCTCACAGGAGTTGATACGATTTCTTAGAGGCACTGTTTAGGATATTGAATATTGCACTTTAAAATCATATTCATATGGTAAAAGCTTTGTAGCAGAAGAAAACGTCAACGGATTATTGAAAGAATCAGAAATAGTTTAAGCTGTCAAAAGCAGACACTTTCATTGGAAAGTAAAGCGTTTAAATGCGTTTGAAAATTCGATTTCAAGTTGTTTTTGCGAAATTGAAACAGTTCAACACGAAAAACGCATAAAGATCGTATCGAAGAGTAGAAAAACCGAAACCAAATCACTCTTCTTCGACCGTGGTGACAATACAAAGAAGAAACAAGAAGAAAAAGAAGACGGGACTACGGTAGTTGTGATAAACGAGCAAAATGACAACATCGAACTTGAAACAAAGGGAAGAGAAGAGAAACGTCGGCGGCTCCATCTTCTTCCACCTGATTAGCCAGCGGGTGTGTGTGTGTGTGGGGACCCGCAATCAGCTGGAGAGAGCGGGCGGGCGCAAAGAAGGAACCCGACCGGAGGAGAGCTCAAAAAGAGACGAAAGAGAGACCAACAAGTTGGTATATTGGTGACATGCGAATAGCACACGCACAGAAGACATTCTTTCGTTCTATGTGTGTGTGTGTGTCTATGGGGCTTGGGGTCTTTCTCTTTTTTCTGTGTGTATTGGTGGTGAGTGAGTGTGGTGGTGGTGGTAGAGCGCAGCATTGCGCAGAAGAGGAAAGAAGGACTGCGCAAGAGCGCAAGGACACACAGTCACACAGGCAGACAGACCCAAACAGCCAATACAGGAGGAGAAGGAGAAGGAGGACACCAGGCGAGATGCGAAGGAATCGTAAGAAAAACCCAGAAGGGCGGGTCGCGCGATCGGGCGCCCGCCGTCGTCGCCGATTGAAAAAACTGCCGATTGTTGCGCAACTTGAAAGAAAAAACACATAGAAAACGGAGGAAGAGACACGGCAACTTGCCCCCTTCGAAACCGTCTTTTCCCATTTTCCAAGAGGACAAATGCAGCTGATGTTGCCAAACTACCGCTGTGTAAACCGGAGCAGGATTCTCAAAAAAGTGCATGCGGGAGGCGGAGTCTGGAGGTGATTGAGGACGAGGTAACTAGTAATTTGGATGACATTTTGGTGCGGGACAGAATGAAATCATTATGTGATAGGCATACGGTAGAATTCAAACTTGGCTCTAGAATTTAGAATTCGAGTGTAAATGAAGCGAATATTTCTAGACCACCCAGTTGGAATAAACCTAGTTTAAGCAGCACGAGAGGAACATGTGATACGAGGAAAAAATCAGTCAAGCGTAAAAGGGCATTGTCGGTTCTTGATGTTTGCCAAATCGCAACATTCCATTTGTTCTGGTTCTCCGGAAAAATGGAAATTGAGCCAATTTCGAGAGCAACCATTGAAAAATGAGCTAATCTATGAACTAGAAAGAACGAATATTCGGACCGTTCAATTCAAGGCTTCAGATGTTTTTGAAAGTGTGAAGCTTCTTCTAAAAGTGTCGTCGATTGTCATGACAACGCGCGGGCACGTGCCCTCTTATGCTCTCGATGTGAAACTTTGCGCGAAACGGCGTAAACAAAAAACAGAAACGCATCTTGGAAACAAAATCCGTTTTCCGATTATATATCGTGGGAGTGGTATCTTCTACGGATGCACGTCATCATTGGTCATCTAACTGAGCGAGAGGCAGATGAAAACAAATTTGTGTGAAGGTCATAAGAACCGTGAAATCACGCACTTACGTAATTAAAAATGCAGACAAAGAGATAAGGATAAGAAGCGGATCGAACAATTGTAATTAGAAGGACGAAGCAAAATTTGCACTTTTCAATTGAGGAAAAGCAGATAAACTAGGGGCGAATCGATAGGTAACACGTGAAACTTGGTGCTCAGTCGAAAAAGAGCTGGAGAAGACGGGGGAAAAACAAAGAGAATCAAAGAGAATCAAAGTGCAAGACAACGAAGAATTAGAAGCGCCTCGCACACCGAAAACTCGCTGGTGTTGGATAGAGGCACAGGGGCGGCCTGGGAGGCTGATGGGCAGAGAGAGAAGCGAAGCGTCGCGGAGACAGCAGAGGGCCAAGAGGCAATTGCAATGACACTCACAAAAAAACGCAAAAAAACGAGGGAGGGGGGGCGGCCGGCCGGTGGGGCGCGAGAGAAAGAGGGAGCCGAGAAGTGGGGGCGAAGAATTTCAGTGCTTGTGTGTTTGTTGTCCCTCGTTTTGCCTCACTTCTACACTCTTCTCAACTCTCCTCCTCCTTGGGGGCCGGCTGGCCGCCGTGTCGACTCAATTCGGCCGGACGGTCGCCGCTTTGACGGCCATCGCCTCGCCTCTTAGGCCTCTCCACCGTTCGTCCGATGTCTTTGCGGAGCGGGGCAAGCATGTCTGCGCATGTTTCAAAGTAAATGCTTCGCCTCCATCTCTTTTCTCTACCCCCTCTCGCTCTCCTTCCACCGGCCCCCGGGGCTAGAGAGGACGGAGTGCCTGCGCCATGCCGTTCGATGTGAGACACGAGACGCTCACAAATCGATACTTTTTGGTTGTTCAAGGATAAGGAGACGGCCCAGCGCCCCACTGTTTATGTGTCTTGTGCCTGCAAATTTTTCTTTTCCATTATCTTACCGGTTTCACTTTCGGCATTTCCTCAATGTCCACGTCATTACTTCTGAATCCGGCGTTGGAGTAGACGTCGCCGTACTCGTAATCATCCATTTATTTTTTCTGAAAACCATTTACACATTTTTTTCTGAAAAATTACTGCAAAAAAGAGAATTTCCTCAAAAGAAAGCAAAACAAATTTGAATAATTGAACACGAGTGCACTGACAATGCCGTATTTACTGCTACATTTAAAGGTGCACGGCTCTCGACCGTTCCTTTTCCGCATTAATCCTGGCAAATCGTTGCGAGACACATTTTTTTCCATTTTTGCCAGTTTTCTCCCGAATTTCGGCGCGTTTTTCTCTCGGTTAGATATCGATCGATCAGCACCACTGTCCTGATCTTTTCCCGATTTTTCACGTGCCCGAAACGAAGAAGAACCCTTGAGGCATCAAGTGCAAACAGCACTTCTCTCCCATTCGGCCGATATATCCTATTTATTTATCAGCGCGTCAGACTGAAGACTAGACCTATTTATCGTCGCCTACACCCACTCTTTGCCACTGTTTTCAGTCTGAAAAAAGGCTGCTGAAATGTCAAATTTATTGCTCCGTGAGTCATTCGTTCTCTCTTGTTTTTCCGTTTTGCCGCTGCTTTCCCCCCGGAGAGACGATCCTCGAATAGGATTATCGTGGACACGCACACCGAATAATCCGCCGTCTTTTCGAGAGAATCTCAGTGAGGACGTGACAATTTTCACATAAAGCTCACTGAGCATCGTGTCAAAAAAGTAGTGTGCTTCTTTTTGTCGCCGTCGTCTTCTAAGCTGTGCTCCATGCTCATTTGCTCTTTCTGCTCATTATCGAGCCAGGCGCCGTCGTCTTCGGCCGCCCGCACGCATACATGTCGCCGCTCAGCCTTTTCTAGCTCTCGCCCGAGCAACAGCCTTCCTCCTTCTCCTCTTCGTCGTCCTCTTCTTTCTTATTCCATAGAAAAGTGTGGCGGCCAAGAAGCCGGCCGGATGGATTTATCCCCGGTTCTCCTTCCCATTGACGTCAATGCCGACGGATTAGGTGCTATGGAAACGGTGGTGATCCCATCTATCATCAAGCCACCACTTCTCCTATCCCGCTCATTTCAACAATGTTATGAGAAGTATCGCATGACACCGCCCGTCCCCTTCTTCTTCAGTTTTTTTAGACAGGAATGAGAATATGTCATGTCTGTACAAATCAAGAAACACCCGTTATCAGAGTTGTGGAGCATTCGCTCATTCATTCTCTCTTGCCCCGACTGTATTGTTTCCTCATTGATTTCGATTTTGCATCACTTTTCTCTCATCGCCGCCAGTTGTTTGGCAGTGAGAAGATGGAAAAACAGCTTGGAATTATTAATAGGTTCTTTCTCATTCGCTCCCCTTTCACCCGCCGAGAGTGTTGTTTGGTTGTCACATGATGATGAAAAGTGGCATTATTGCAAATGAAATCTGGTGCAAGCCATAGAGAGAAAGAGACAGCGCGTGAGAGCCAAATCCGTCTCTAATTCCGGAGACATGCGAAGAGGAAGAACAAAATTGTGTTTCTTTCAACTACTCCGTCAGTCCGACACGACGCCTGACACCGTCGTGTGTTTTTTGTTTTTGAATTCGAATCGCTGGCTGTCAGCCTTTCACCACAGCGAAGGGTATAATACATTGATGATCTGTGTCGCCGTCGCGTTCTTTCCACGTCATTCTCTGCCGATTCGATTCGATTCGATTTTGTCCAGCACAACGAGCGAATTCGATTTTTCCCAAAGCGCTCTTTGTTTATCAGATATCAATTTCATTTGCCTCGTCACTTCTCCTACCCGTTTCCGCTCTTTCATTCTTCATTATTCTCTCTCGACATCACGTCACTCTCATCATTATTTCTGTCGTTGTTTCAGAACTCGGGTAGATCAACAACACGCACACGCGCTTGCTCCCACAGCCTTCCGTCTTTTTCAGTCGAGTAACACGCGCAGCGAGCATCATCATCATCTAACACGAAAATGCGCGGAGAAGCCGGAGAGTTGGCAGTGAGCAGTGGCGAGATTTCCACCGGAGCCATGTCGCCGGAAAAGCAGCAGGAGCAGGAGCTTATGGGCAAATTGGCGGCGACTGGAAAGCTGCCCGCCCGACCGGCCAGCTCGTTTCTGCAGAAGAAGTTGCAACAGAGGGTGAGTCTTTGATTGCTCTTCGAGAATGAGTCAGAACGCACTGAAAGCGTGATTAGGATGATGATGATCAGAATACGTCTTCTATTTGTTAAATAGCGGAAAATGACACATCTTGTCTGATCAACAATCAAATTACATTTTCTAGAAATTCTTCGATTCGGGAGACTACGCAATGGACAAGTCGAAAGCAGGTATTGGCCTTGGATCCAAGCCACATCCGCTCGCTGGGGGACCTCCACCAGTAGCCGCCGCTCCTCCGGTTCCGGCTTCTGTCCAGAAGAGCCCTGCTCCGGCGACGTCACCGTCTCCATCAGCGTCTCCGATCTCGCAGCAGACAAGTCGTCCGAGTGCTGAGCGAGGCAGCGACGATGACAATCTGCAGGTAATCCGCTGCCCACCAATGATCACTTTTTCCTCCTATTCAACCCTCTTTTTTCAGATTCCGCGCCCCGACACGGTTCCACAGCGAAAAGCGTCGATTATCAATCCGAGTGTGCATTGCAAGCTGAGCCCGGCGCCGCATGTTCAGGTGAGAAAAGGGCAAACAGTGCAGAGATGGAGCGAGACAGATTCACGCATTTTTTGGGCTGCCGAGCTCTGAGCCAACTGTCAAACACGCCGGGTAGACGCAGAACGCCCCGGCGACCAATTAGACTATTTGGCGGCACGTAATCAGTTGGAGCAGCGGGCACAACTCAAAAAAAGGCTTCGCGGGGTTTGTGTGCTCACTTTCCCCGCAAAAAGGGCATCCTGTGGGCCCGGGTGGGGCGCGAGAAAGTAAACATTGACTGAAGCTGATAATTGGGACACTGTCACCTTTGGTTTCGCTTTTGCAAATGTCGAAAGGGACTTTCCGGCTTCTAAACGTTCGATTTTCAGCATCACGACGCAGCTGTCTCGCCAGCTGCAAACGAATAAAACGTGGAGTCGACGGCCCGCATCATTTAATCTAATTTTTTCCCATGTTTTTATTCATCCCCCATATATTTCACCACAGTATTTCAGCAATGATCGGATTCACACAAACACTTCTTTTCTCTAATTCTTCCTTTTTATCGTCATTCGTTTTATCCGTCGAACACTCGATCCCACCATCATAATCATTGTCACGAAATAATCGCCCATTTCTCTCGCTCCAGGCTGTTTCTTGCTGAATATACGCTCTGAAAGTCACACACATTTTGCACTTGAAATCCGTTTTCTGTCCTCTCCTTTTTCTATCAGTTGCTGTCTGCTATCGTTTCCAAACAGGTATCCGAACCATACTGTTCTGTCGATCCGTCCGTCTGTGCACAACTTCTTCCCGTTTTTATCTGCGAAATTTCCAGTTTTACCATCCATCCACATGCTCTGATCATGCTGAAAATGTTGCCTGTAGATGATAGCCTCGTTTCTCTCTCTTTCTTTCCACCGATTTCTCTCTTTTCCCTCCCTTTCTGGTCTGTCCTCACCCCGAAAACCATCTCAACCTTTTTTGAGTCTTCGTTCTTTATTGTATGTATACCAAACAAACATTATTGTCAAAAAAATGCAGAATGAAGAGGCAAATAAGGCGAATTGAGGTAAACTTAAACTTCAATTGAACAATAGATTAGTAGGGAAGCGGCTAGGAGGCTGGAAGACTGTCATTACACCGTAAGAGCTGAGTGATTAAAATAGGGATGAGCAATGCTTTTGGACAAAAATTAAAGAAAAAGAAACAGATTTTATGCTTTCGAGGCGGCCTTTTTGTTGCGCCACTCGCAAACGAAAATGATGAGGAAGAGAAGGAAAAGAGTGACCAAAATGACGACGAGCGGGTAGACCCATTGGAATTCGCCTGCAAAACGGGGGATTAGTGTAGGAGTACGGTACTCTGTGCTCACTTCTGACATCGACCATTTTGTCGACGACCAGCAGCATCTTGCTCGTTTTGCCGTTCAACGTGTACTCGTTGACGGCCTCGCACGAGTAGATGCCCGCGTCGGTGTAGTTGGCGGCGCCGATGAGCACCGTCGTTCCCTCCATCGACACCGATTTGCTCAGAGCTGGAAAGATTACGGTAGAAAAGGAAGAGAGAGAGAGGGAAAAAAGGGAATTACCGAGTGGGGATCCGTCCTTTGTCCACTTGACCACTGGCTTCGGGTAGCCCGAAACTGGGCACGTCAGCGAGACAGCTTCGCCTTTCTTTAAAAAAAACCGTTTCCATGGACAAGACTTTCCCTAGGTTTTTTGAAGAATAACCGGCGATCACCGAAGTGGAAGCAGAAAAAGCAAGGGATCTTGATAATTCTGAGCGCTCTACCGCATTTCCACGTGAAAACCCATCCCTGTCATTCTTGAGTTGCGATCTAGTTTCAAAAAGTATCCACTTGAGCAAAGAGAAAGCGACCTAACAGAAATTCGTGAAAGTTATCAGTGAGAATAAGGCGACGAAAAGTGCTTTCAATAGTCATTACTTATTTTTTGAAACAGCATACGTAGCTTGAGCACCAATTTTTTGTTGCAGACATCCTTTAACTTAACAATTTCAAATCCATGTCTGCGTACGTGAATTTCGCGCCGGATTTCGGCGAAGCACGCTTACTTCAATAGTGGTGCCGGTGCTCTCCAAATGGAACTCGTGTCCTTCGTGCTCGGTGAAATGCTCATGCGAATGGACAACGGGTCGCGCTGTAATAAAGTCGGTTCAGTTGGGGGCCGCCACCTGACCACCCCCGTCTCTCTCTCTCTGTTACTCACAATAAATGAAGACCTTGTGGCTGATCTTGCCGTGCTGTGTCTCCAACTCGCATTTGTACTCGCCCGCGTCTGCAAAACAAAGAGAATTACGACGAGCACATGTGTTGGTGGGTGAGGAGAAGGCAACCGATCGATCGGTTGAATACTTTATTCAAAAGAGAGCGGCGATCCAGATGTGGAAGATGCAAGTCATCTGGATCTGACTGGAGGCTTTTGGAAAGCCAAAACTTTTGACGCAGCCGCAGATTGAGAGACAAAGCGCGGTAGACTGCTCCAAGTTTATGCCTTACCTTTGACAGACGGGGATGCGAGCGTGTACGTGGCATTCTTCTTCGTCGGACTCAACGTCGCCTCCAGCTGCTCGTTGTTCGAAACTCGCACGAAATGAGCAGTTTTTATGACCACCTCAAAGTGAGCAGATATACTTTTTTTGTTGTATTTTCAGACCCCGACTCACCTGAACATTGTCGGGAGCACACCATATTGTGATCGGATCAGTGGCGTGAAGTGGATGATTCTCGGAGGAACGGGCGGCGATCAGAGAGAGTGCGTGGTTGGAGCCGCGGCCGGCGAGAGCTGCCACGCTGGCAACCAGAGCGAGTTGGAGCAGCAGCAGGCTTTTCATACTGGAATGAATGCCAAGTGAGAAGAAGTGGAAAACAAGGAAAAGAAAGAAAATCTTTCCAAAAAAAAAAAAACGGAAAATAGGTCTCGTCGAATTAGAAGAGATATCTAGGTGAGTTGAGAGCACAGAGAAGAAGAAAACGAAGGAAAGAAGGGAAAGGTTCTTCCTTCCTCTCCTTTCTTCTTCTTCTTCTTCTTCCTCTCCTTCTTCTCCTTCGCGTATTCTCAGGCCGTTGCCGCGGGCGGGCGAAAATTGGTGGAAAATGTGTGAGAGTAAAAGGAGACGGAGAGAATGGAGGAGAAGAGCGGAGAAGGAGAAGGAGAGGAGCAGAAGGGGCCGGCACTCGCTTGACTTCTGGGAGCTATTAGAGAGAGAGAGAGAGAGAGAGAGAGAGAGAGAGAGAGAGAGAGAGAAAGAGAGAGAGAGAGAAAGGGTAAGAAGGGTGAAAGATCCCCTGGGAACTATTCTCATTTCCCATTCTCTCCATCTTCTTCTCTCATCGCGACTTTTTCCGCTAATTCGAATTCTCAAAGAAATGTGAGAGCATAAGCGGGTATCGAAAAGAGATGAAGTATTATGGAATGAAAGGGGTTTTCTTGAGCTTATAAAAAATGGGCACAACTGCAAATTTCACGAGATCGTCTAAAGTAAGGGGAAAAGTGAGTGTTTTGAATTGGCTGCGTAGCGACTCGGATTGTGTTGGCTGGCACAGTGCCAATATACATACAAAGTTTTAATGCAGTATTAATATGGAGTGCATTTGCAGCACATACGCTTCAACTTGCCATGCTTCGCAAATGGCGCGGAAAGGGAAAAGTGGGCGTGGCCTTTTGGGACGCGTAGCGGTCGGGCGCACTTTGACAGTAGTTTCAGTGAAAGCAGAGGCGATTCCGAGAATTAAAAACTGGAAAATCGATAACTTTTTCGAAAAAAAACTTTTAAAGAATCCGAACCTAGGCCGATTTTTGGTAAGTTTCGCTCCAAAAGTCCCTGCGCTCGGTCCTGCAGAGCGGAATTGTTGGGAGCAGTGTGACTTATCGAAAAAGTGACATATTATCGAAAAGGCGCACTCATTGAGTGTCATCCAAAGAGATCCCGACGCTGAAAAGGTTCGGCTTGCGGCTCACTGAAATTTCGAGGCACTGCATTCGTTCATTCCGAAATCTGGTCATGAATGAATGAAACCGAGAACCCTTTGCTCTTTCATTTCTTTCTCTGCGCTCTCCACTCCATCCACAATATTTCTCATTCGTCTTGTCACATCAACTATGCAAACCAAGCAACATGTCACACACACAAAAAGGGAAAAAACTCGACAAATTGGGAGAAGGAGGAGGCGAAAGCAAGAGTCAAAACGGACATGTAAAGAGCAAGAGAAGAAGTGAAAGCTTTGGGGAGCGAAATGGGGAAAAGGAGAAAGAGAGAGAGAGAGAGAGAGAAAGGGTCCGTCTTCCGGTTCGGGAGGCGAAAATTGAATGGAATGCCATGACAACACGGGCCAAACTTCGCGCCGTCCGTTCCATTTGGCCTTGTGCTCTTGTTTTCTGTTGACATTCCCACCGCTCTCGTATATTCTCGAGATGACTTTGTGTGAATTGCAAAACAAGAAGGCAGTGTGTGTTCTCGAAAAAAAAATGTCTCGAGAAATGGGATTAATTTTATATAATTTTTCGATGAAAATGCTCACAAGGCAAAAGTCGTCCAAGCCTGGTGCTCAGCCAACTTTTCTCGTTTCATCAACGTCGTCACCGGATTTGAACTATTCTGTATGGGGAGTTCTTCAGTCGAAGGTTCAAGCACATCCACATCCCATCTTGGAGTTATTGAAGAAAAGTTCGGAGACAGAATGAGCCAAGCTATCTCCAGAATACCTCCGTGTCACAGTAGAGGCATTCCCGAAGAGACTCAAGGATGTTGTCAAGAACAAAGGCAACCGCATCGAACAACTTTTATATTTTCTCGTTTATGGTGGTTCCAATAAATTATAGTTGAATTTTCATGTTGGTTCGAGTATTTGAATGTGTTACCATACTTTTGGCGCACCCTGTATATTGGGTCCAAGTTACAGACCGATCGGCCGATCGACTCGTGTTGAATGCTTGCATTCGAAGTCGGAAATCATTAAATTTCTTATTGCTCTTTTTCCGAATCCTCCTGGCATGGTGCCATGACGTTTCGAAATCCCAATCGTTCTTTCCCATCGGAGTTCTGGGAAAATTCAAGAAAAGCCCCCCGCCAGTGCAAAGTGGGGGGCTATTCTTTAAGAACTAGGTATTCTTAAAGAATTATTTTATTTGAATATACCCGGAGTTCTTTGTCGGCGTCCTTATCACTAATCTCCGTCTGTAATTAAGTCGGCTTCTCTGAAACTTGCCGCAAATCCGCTTGAAGCTCACATTCCCCAACCTGCGGTCTTAATTACCGGCGGAGATTAGTGATAAGAATGCCGAAAAAGGACTGTGATGGAAAAGTATACCACGCCCACAACAGGGAGAAGGAAAAGCCAGGTGCAGTGGCCACGCCCACTAACTACACTCAGTAGCCACGCCCACTAATTAGAACGGCCACGCCCACTAACTACACTCAGTAGCCACGCCCACTAATTAGAACGGCCACGCCCACTAACTACACTCAGTAGCCACGCCCACTAATTAGAACTGCCACGCCCACTAACTACACTCAGTAGCCACGCCCACTAATTAGAATGGCCACGCCCACTAACTACACTCAGTAGCCACGCCCACTAATTAGAACTGCCACGCCCACTAATTAAAAATGGCCACGCCCACTAACTACACTCAGTAGCCACGCCCACTAATTAGAATGGCCACGCCCACTAACTACACTCAGTAGCCACGCCCACTAATTAGAACTGCCACGCCCACTAATTAAAAATGGCCACGCCCACTAACTACACTCAGTAGCCACGCCCACTAATTAGAATGGCCACGCCCACTAATTAGAATGGCCACGCCCACTAACTACACTCAGTAGCCACGCCCACTAATTAGAACGGCCACGCCCACTAACTACACTCAGTAGCCACGCCCACTAATTAGAACTGCCACGCCCACTAATTAAAATGGCCACGCCCGCTAACTACACTCAGTAGCCACGCCCACTAATTAGAATGGCCACGCCCACTAATTAGAATGGCCACGCCCACTAACTACACTCAGTAGCCACGCCCACTAATTAGAACGGCCACGCCCACTAACTACACTCAGTAGCCACGCCCACTAATTAGAACTGCCACGCCCACTAATTAAAATGGCCACGCCCACTAACTACACTCAGTAGCCACGCCCACTAATTAGAATGGCCACGCCCACTAATTAGAATGGCCACGCCCACTAACTACACTCAGTAGCCACGCCCACTAATTAGAATGGCCACGCCCACAGGGCAGAAATAGTCATTTTATCTGTTGCCGTCTCGTTTCTTTGTCATTTCTCCCTCCCTTTGACGTTATTGCAATGCAAGAAGTCAGCTCTCTCTCTTCCTACGAAAGGTGTATATTTTGTGAGAAAACCGTAAGTTCTCAAGCCTTGTTCTGAAATTCGACGTCGACCAGTTTGGCAATGGTGTTCAGCTGAATGTTGGACGTTCCCTCGTAGATCGTGCCGATCATCGCGTCCCGATAAAACTTCTCCGCCGGAAACTCTTTTGTGAATCCGACGCCGCCGAGCCACTCGACGCACAAACGGCTCGTCGTCGTGGCGACTTGCGACGCGTAGAGCTTCGCCATGGCTGCTTCACGGACGAACGGCAGTCCGTGCTGTTTCATTCGGGCGGCGTTGTAGACGAGGAGACGGGCGGCCTCGATTTCAGTACGAACCTGACCGATTTGATGTTGCATTCCCTGAAAAGAAACGTGCTCAGGGCGTGGAGTCTATAAATATTCTACCTGAAAATCGATAAGTCTCTGTCCGAACTGCTCTCGCTGCTGAAGGTACGGAATCGTCTGATCGAAGCATCCTTGGGCGAGCCCGAGCATCTGAGCCCCGATTCCGATGCGGCCGGCGTTGAGGCACTCGATCGCGTACTTGTAACCTGCAACCTTTTCCAAACTAACGCCTCAATCTCTTTGTACCTTTTCCCAATTCTCCGACAATCGCCGACTTGTGCACACGGACGTTATCGAAGTGGACGGGGCAAGTGGACGAAGCACGGATGCCCAATTTGTCCTCCTGAGCTGATTCTTGAATATTATAAATTGAGAGTATTCGCTACCGCTTTGCCGATGGACAGTCCCTCTTGGCCTCTGTCGACCAGGAAGCACGTGATTCCCTTGTAGCCCTTCGTCGGGTCCGCATTCGCAAACACCAAATAATGATCGGCGTGTGCCGAGTTGGTTATCCACATTTTCGATCCGGAGATCAGGTAGTCGTCTCCGTCTTTCTTGGCCACCGTTTTCAGCGCGAACGCATCCGAACCGGCGCTCACTTCCGAAATGCAAAAAGAGCCGACGGAAGCGTCGATGCACCGCGGGAGCAGTTTCTTTTTCTGCTCCTCGGTGCCCAGATCGAGAATCATCGAGACGAAGAGCGTGTTGTGGACGTCGACCATTGCGGAGACGGACGGATCCACCTTGGCGAGCTCCTCGATCACGAGTATCGCGTCGAAGAAGGTGAAGCCCGGTCCGCCGTACTTTTCCGGAACTTCAATGCTCATCAACTGAGAGAAATTTTAGATTTTTAGAGTTTGAAAAGTTTTCTATTTCATACCCCGTTTTCAAAAGCGCCTTTGATGACCGTCTCGTGCATTTCCGACGTTTTGTCCATCTCACGAACCAGCGGTTTCACGACGTTAACAGCATAACGACGCACTGCAACACAAAAACTTCACAGTATGGAGTCGTGGCGGGGTACACTGCCGCAAGTGCGCTCTAATGAAATTTTCAAAAATTTTGCTTTGGCCTACTCAGCGATTTAAAGTGAGAAAACAGCGGCGAAAGAGGGGTTTTGAGGAAGCTCAAAGCTCAAATCGTGGCGAGACCACAGCCGCGGCGCTTTTTTCGAAACGGCTTCTGCGGCTGTTTCCTCACTTCAAATCGCTGAGTAATGCTTTAAAATAGGGGCGCTACGCAATCGACCGTCGGCGGAAGTTCAAATTTTAGTGTTCGATGTACCCGTCACAACCCCGTGCACAGTGTTCCAGAGTATTCACAAGCCTAACCGGTGTCCACAATGGACTGCTCTTGCTCCGAGAGCTGTTGGAGCGGAGAGGGAAAGTGGCCTTCCACGTCGAAACGAGCCTTCGTGGAGAGCCGCGCGAGCAGTTGGGATGAGCAGCGACGGAGGAGGAACGAAGACATTCTGTTCGAGAACTAAGCGAAATGATATCTTGATCACGATTTCAAATTATTTCGTTCCACGTGAGAAAAAAAGTTTATTCATTTAGAGCTACGAGAAGCAGTACAGTATTTTTGTTGTTACCCGACAAGTGTTGGATTCGCTTTGTTTTGGACGAGTTGATCGACGATCTGAAAAAATAGATATATTTTACAGCACTAGAACCCCTGAGCTCTCACCTTTTCTCGGTCGATGCCATGAATGTTAAGATTGGGAATGAGGTGTGCAAAGTTGAGATCGATGTCGTTGATCCGTTCGAAGAAGTGCGCCTTGAACGGGAACCGCTGGTTCGTCGTGGGAATCGGGAAGTTCATGCGAGTGTGGTAGATGTCCGTCAGCTCTTCGTCGTGTTTCTCCAGTGTTTCCTCTTGGAAGTCGAACACCTGAAAATAGCGAAAAGTGAGAAAGAACACAATTGAGGGTGACGGTACTTCGTTGATTCCCGGGAGCGGAATGTCCACAGCCACCGCATGACTGGTGAACTTGGAAGAGTCGACCTCAGCGCCAACAATGAACGAATTCTGGAAGATGCCCGTTCGTTGAATCAGTCGAAACAGTCACTTTACCCACCTGAAATGGCTGATGCTGTCCGTCGGTGAACAGATGAGGCATGTTCGCATACTGTCTGTAGTTCTTTCTCAGATTCAAATCTAAACGTCTCCTCCAATCCTACTTTTCACATCAATCAACGAACCGAGAAAGTTGACACCCTGCAGAGCGTATCCGGCTCCCCACGAATCTCCAAAGTCGTTGTTCGTTCCGACGGCGACCATGTGGGTGAACGGGTTGAGTTGGGCGTGTCCGGAAAAGTGCTTCTCCTGTCCGGGCAGCGAAACGTCGGGCACTGTCTGCGTCTTGTGGTAGAGTTTGTTTCCGGCAATGTAGAGGTTGGGCAGGTAGGGACCGGAACGATGATCCGATACTCCTGCAATAGATCGAACATTGAGATTCAAAAGTGACACAATCGAAACACGATGACGTGATCGCACAAAAACAGCAAACTACTCACCGAACGGCAGTCGAATCAATCCGATTCCACGCGGTCGCAGTCCGTCAACACGCGGCACTTTGAGAAGGAAACAGACGAGGAAAAATGGGGTGAAACGGGGGCGAAGTTTCGAACGTTTCGACTCCATAACACATTATACCAGAGGAGGAATCAGCCGGAGGGAAAGCGACAATACTTTGGTCATCCGAGAAGGAGAAATGGAAAGGGAGGAAAGGGAGAGAAGAAGCGGTGAGAATAACGGGAATCGCGAGAAATCGAGGCTGATCATATGTCCGTCTGCAGCCAGGTTTTTCACGTTTTCACGACGAACTACCAGTTGGCGGAGGATCGAAAGATGAGAAGCCGGACTACGGTAGACAGTAGTTTGAGCCTAATCAGCATGTCTTCATAACTTTTGGATTTTAGATCCTCTCTTTTTATCTCAAATATTTTAGATTCCGAGAACAATCCATTGCGTCTAGATTCCAATTTTTCCACAATTCAAAAGTTCACTCCTCATCTCGAATCAACATCATATTGTTTGTTATCATCCGTTGTCACCGTCCTTCTTCTTCTTCTTCCAATTCCACGAAAATGTTCAATGTAGCGCAAAGTGGAACAAAATAATGGAGGCGAGAAAGTGAGAGAGAGAAAACCGGTTCGGCAGTGCGCGGGCGGGCGGATAGATCAAAAAATGATGAGATTTGGTAATCACCTCTTCTTCTTCTCCTCCTCCTCTTTTCCGGAATCGCGTCGTCGAGATTATTGAACACTTTCGCGACAAGACTGTCGCGAAAAAGCGAAAGCATGAATATAGTCGGATTCTGCACGAACGAGACTCGACCTTTCTGCAAAAAAGCGCAATTGATTCCAGATGGAAGAAGAGTAGTAAGAGAATTACGTTAATTTTGAGCTATCAGACCAAACACATTTTGTTCATAAATTACAATTTTCGAAGCATTGATCGTATTGTAAACGAGTTTCTTCGGAAATTTTTAAAGTTTTCCGGTTTTTTACACACCATTCTCGTCAATTGACACAAAATACGAAAATTGTTTGTTTCCCTTGAGCGCTCAAATTGTGGAATACATTTTCGATGTTCCAATGTTTTTAGTTTCAGTGACCCTGAAAGAGACGTCATTTGCACTGTGTCAGTCAGTGGAATGGAATGTGATTCGAGTCTGAAAAGAAATGGGGAAAAGTGTGATTCCTGGTTGTTGTTTCGTCCATTGTGTAGTCTAGTAGTCGCATTGAGTTTCAGGTCGGAAAACCGGAAGAACGAGTCAGCAGGTGAACTCGGAAGATATCAGGCGAACAAGTGACGCCGCGCATTTTTCTCCGGAGCTTTCAGAGATCCCGATTTCGAAAAACAGAACGTGTCTAAATTTAGCATGCAATCGAACTTCGTGTTCTCCCGCCATTCCTACTGCGAGACCCAACACTCATTCACAATTTCGTCTTTGACGCCTACAAGTTCATCTCTTCGTGCCCTTCACATTCGCCCAGCATTCCGTCCAAATGGGTGCAAAATAATAATGAAAGTATCATCGAAACGAACGGACGAACGGATGAGCAGACGGCTGAACAGAGCCGGAGACGTCACTGGCTCTGCTGAAAACGAAAAAGAAAAAGCGGCGCCGAAAATTGCAGCGAGCGGAGGGAGGGAAGGAGGCGAAAAGAGAGAGCGTTCTATGTTTTCGTCCGGCGCGTTCAGTTTACATGTCCTTTGTGTTTTCCACTTTCAGTCAGTGCACAGGGGGCCCGCCGCATCTCTGCGTCTCGCGCACATCTTGTTCCGATCCAACTCATCGTCGCCGCGGCGGTCGCCCTCGACACTCCCGAAGCCTTTCCGTTCAGTCCCCATCTTTTGTGCTTTCCGGAGAGCAGCGCACGGTCTCCCAGGGCGCTGATGCTAAATCCAGTGCGCTCATGAATTTCGGAGTGTCGTTGTAACTTTTGAACATTTGCAAGTCTACAAATTCAGTTTATCAAGTTCAATTTGAGTTTATGACCTTTATCTCTCCACTTTTGACTTGAAAACCGCATAGAAAACAATATTTTTACTGATTAGAATCCGTTTTTACAGAATTTAGAGTTTTTCATGTTTTTTCGCGTCTAAAGTTGTTTTCGTCAAAACTTCAAACCTTTAGTCCTCAGCCAATTTTGCATTTCATGAGCCCAACGAATGATAAAAATGTTCGCTGAATCTTTCTTTACAAAAACTAAGTCTCGGCGGTTAGGTTTCTTGAGCAATTTTCGAAAATTGTTTGAAAAACATGAGAATCCAGGCCAAACATTTCAGATCGAAATTTTTTTTCAACGATATGCGAGATTTCTGTTGCCAAAATGTTGCTTCTAAATCGTATCTAGGCCTAAGACGTTGAAAAAACCGGTGTATTGTGCAGAAAACAAGCAACGAACTGAATTCCCGTTGAAAAAATATTTAATTAGGCGCCCCGTAAATCGACACAGCCTGCTTGCTGCAAGTACGCCCCATGAAATCATTCGCGCCTAGGGAGACCGTGCAGCGAATTTTTTTCCGAAGATCACCGCCGTACCAATGCACTTTCTTCAATTTACTTCTATTTTCTGTTTTTGCACTCTGTTCCTCAATGTTTGGCAGATCAGCTGGTTCTAGAAACACACATGTTTTCCCTCAATTCCTTCCGATTCTTTTCTAAAAGTGATTCTAACTCTGTCTCTCATTGCTCATGAAACCCGAACTGATTGTTGATGACATATTCCCCTTCGGCTGTTTGCATTCCGAGCGGCCATGAGACTTGCTTTGATCGATCATGGGTGGACCAGTTAGTGTGTGATTCACAACGAGCACTAGGGCGTCCCCGTGTTTACATTAATTTCGAAACACTGGTCGGAGAACGCGTGGGCGGAGGAGCTATATCTGGGCCCTGTTTGACCATACTCTTCAAAGTTCCGGTGCCACGATCTGCTCTACCATCGGGGCATTTTAAAGTGAACGCACTCTGCTGAGATACCTCTCTTTTTGAGATCTCCCGGGCCTAATTTTGCAGCCGCGAAACAAGTTTCTGATGTTTTTCTTTAAAATGCTCGAAGAATTTTCTCTTTTTTTAAATGGTGCCGAGCGGAAGATTACAATTACAACAAAGCGCATTCACTTTGAAATGCCCCGATAGTAAGAAATTTATCCTCTTCCGTACAGTCTGATCGCTTTTTTCCAAATGATGAGTTCACTTTGAGCTGAAATCCCTACAGTCATAGTTAGCAAATTCCGGGCCAACGAGCCGGCCGAGCCGAGAAAAAATTGGTCTCTGGAACATTTCTTATGTGGGACGCAAAGAATCGCTAACTATGCCTACAGTTGCCCGATTCATTTCGGTTTCATATGCTCTTCACATGTTTGTACCGTTTCCATTCGGTCCACCCACTTCCGTCCAAAGAACGCCATGCCATCCATTCGCTGTTTCCATTCCTTCCAGCCAGTCCGCCCCCTCTTCGTGTTGTCGCGAGCCAATCGGTCCCGTGGTCACAGAGTGCAGATCACTCAGTCTACCGTACTCCTTCTCTTGTTTATAAACGAGTCTTGCCACGATCTTCATCCTCTTTTTCTTTTCCCTCTTCGAAGATTGGGGTGCAAATGACGGCTTGTTTTCGATTTCGATTCGTGTTTTTCGATTTGTGTTTCGCTCTGCAAGTGTGTCCTTTTGCAAACACGGCGATCTCCCCGGAGCCAAGATCGTTTTGGCATGGCTTCTTCTTGAATTCTCGGAGATTCCAATGATCACGCACTTTGGGTTGCTCCGCGAGAAGCACTCGGCAAGCGGGTGTTCTTTCGAGAAAACAAGAGGAGGTGATCGCCGAATTCATTCGCATAACTGAGTGGTTCCACTAGTCACTTTTATAGCTCGTTCGTTCGCAGAGTACGCTGAGCAATGGGCTCTAGCCAACCACATTTTTATTGCCCTCAATCATAAGGGCGAAAAAGTCATCTGAAGAACACGATTCTTCTCATCGTCTGTCTACACAAATTGGAATTGTTAAGCGTGCTCCGAAACGAAGCCAATTCGCGCTTCGTATCGTCGAACTTTCCGGAAATATATATCAGTGTACTTGCGGGCGGAGATGAGCTTCAAGTATTTCTTTTTTGGGCGCTTTGTCAATAGCACTAAGTCTGATTAATATAGGAAACTGAGTACATCATATAGTAAACTGAGTAAGATCTAACCTTGCACGCAAAAAGAACTCAAGATTTGTCGGTTTGCAAAACAAAACTGGGCTCTAATGTCTTTATGGATGTCCTTCTGCAAAATCCCTAATCTCATCAGGGGGACAGTCAACAACAGTACTTCTGCATTCCCTTTCGCTTTTTCTTTTCCACCTCTCCCTCCACCTCAAAAGCTCAAGAATCAGGGCCGGATGTGTTCCAGGAAACCCCCCTCGTCCGTGCCTGATCCTTGATGTTCTCTCCTTTTTTTTCCCAAATGCCTATGGACCAGATACCTCTTTAAATGCACTTACACTTCCATTCTTCCTGATATCGTGGATACATTTCAAGAGGATCTGAAAGTGGGCGTGGCCTCAACAACAACAGTTTGGCGTCGGCCCCGAAAAGTGATGTACTCTTTTCGATGATGTGAATGTTTTATGAGTTCTTCTCACGAGCTCAATCCGAGCACACACACACACACACATTTGGGACCGACGGCACTTGTCGCCCCAACACGTTTTATTCGCTTTTTCGAATGAGGTTTCGGGCGCAGAATTGGATGGAATTTCACATGCCAATGATATTTTTAGGCGCAGCTTTTCTGCGGAAATCACAATTTCCTCGTTTTGGCTTACTTTCTCGGATTAAACATAGGCTGGCTAGTATTCAATTGGAAAGCCCTCTTGGGCCACAAACTTGGCGGGTTTCTTTGGTTTTTTTTACGTGCCTCACTGCATAAAAATTGTTAGAAATGTGGAATTTTGGGGCTAAAATGGAATAGTCACAGATTGAACCCTACCGTACCGCCCGCCCGTCTGACTACTCGTTCCCGTTCCGTTCACTCTTCTCCCCTCCGTCTCGCAATTACTCTCGTTCTGAGCCCTGTGTCATTCGGGACCGCTGAACACTCTGAAAGCGTGTCGAAAACATGTCTCCGTGCGCTTTCCCCTTCTTCTTCTCCT